CGCATCCTTCCTTCGCCTGCACCGCGGTCTCACTCCCGTTCGCTCCCTCTTTCTCACTCCCCAACTCACTCACTCCGCCGTCACACTACCCCCGCTTCCCTCTCTTCCAACTTCTACCGCCACAGCAACTCCTACTTCACTCCATCCCCTCCCGCCAAGCCCCTTCGCTTCGCATCCTCCAGACCCTACCGCCCCGTTCCTCGCCTTCGCAAAGACCACCGCCGTTGGCTCCGCACGCAAGAGACCAAGGGACCCGCCAGACCCGCTGTTAACGGCAGCCTCCCCCGCAAAGTTCCCACGCAAGACTCTAACGTCCCCGAAAGCCCCCGTCTTTGCCCCTGTCTTTGCTCCCGTCTCAAGTCCTACCGCTGTCGCTACCCTCCTCACTCCATCCACTGTCCCCGTGGACCCCAGGGACTTGCAACATACCCCCGTCACTCCAGCCAACTCTGACTCGTTGCACCAAACTCCGTCCCACCATGACCCAAACAGAACACAACCCAATCGCTCTACGCCAGAGGTAAGATTTCACTAACGCTCGCACTTCATTCATTCTACTTCACCGCTAAATCAGCACCCTAACCCGCCACCTTGTGTTCTCTATCTTGTCCTGCCCTCTCTGAATATTGCCTTTACGTACCTCGCTTACGTAATGTTCTTGACCTTATCGCCGCTATTCCATCTGCCGCCATTTTTTCTGCCTAATCGTAGAGTGAGGAGGCAGAACACTCGCAGCAGAAGCCCGGTTTCGAGTGCGACCACTGCCGACAACCTTTCTCCAGAAAGCATCATCTCGAGAGGCACATCCAAAACATTCACGAGGGCCAACGTCCCTGGACTTGCGATGCATGCCTCACCGCCTTTCACCAAAAACCAAATCTTGGTAAGCTATCCTCCTCTATGGAGTCGCCCGTATGTTTGCTGCGCTGTGACAGGAGAAGGCAAGCAACTTATGCTAACATCTTTATCCTTGTCTCATTTTTCCCACACTGGATGCCCTCCACAGAACGTCATATCATGACAGTCCACGAACAGCAAAGGCCATTCCAGTGCAACGTGTGTGACAGGTCCTTTGGACGCAAAGGGGTTCTCAAGAAGCACGTTCAAGTCGTTCACCACAACTCGCGCAAATTCGAATGCGACGTGTGTAGCATATCTTTCGGTCTCAAGTCAGACCTCAAAAGACACGTTCAGAGCGTTCATCAGAAGAAGAGGCCGTTTGTCTGCAACGTATGTCCCGCAACTTTCGCGCGGAGGTCAGACCTCAAACGTCACACACTCTCACTACATCCTGGCGCTGAAGTCCCTTCAAAGAGGAATTCCGGACCCTCTTCCGAAGCAGACACTACTTGAGTTGACTTTTCATAGTCAACGTTGCAAGCTACCTCTTGATCTCATTCAACTTGTACATTTAGAAAAAAAAGTGTAAAGCACTCAGGAGATCTTGTGATCACGCCTTATTATTACATTTCAACTCCCTGCCCTTTGGTCTTCAACACATTATTTTATCCGCAGCGACCAATCTGTAATACCATACTATGCTGTGCTACTGCAGTGGCTGCGTTTCTCTAAAGACTTGCAAGTCGACATTTGTCCCCACGCAGAGGTCTCTGAAACGGGCTGTAAGGACAGCTGTCTAAAAAAGCAGCAAAAAAAAAGTCCACCCCGGGGATATGATGCTCGGCACGCCACTTAACCCGCTTTGCCGCGATGCGTACCTGGCGCAACGCCGCCAGAGGCGGTTACCTCAGGCAACAGACCAGGAACATCATAGCTACAAGCAGTCGCTTTCCACATCACGTCAAGTGTATGTTCTGGGTGCATGACAATATGGCGCTACGTACGTAAGTCCATCGTAGAAACTGAATTCTAGAACAAACGAAACAACGCGCGTTCCAAGCCCTAAACTTTCAAGCCTTTTCATATGTAATGCTGTGGACCAAGTCATGCCTTGCATGCTTTTGGCGACAGCAGTGCAGCGCATACCCCTCCCCTTAGGAACCATCCATTCAGCTCATCTTCCAAATTCAGCTCATCTTCCAACACGTCAGAGGGGCTTCCAACACGTCAGAGGGGGACGGACAACACAAGACGGGATGACACAAATTGTTTACACGCAAACCGACACCAACTCGCATGTTATCAAGGGTGAAGCATTTTAAATAGACGGCAGCACGTCGACATGTGCCGCGTCCTCGGAAGTCCTCTCTATGATGTTACAGATATTTCTATATGTTTCATATCTCCATCACGCCATCCATCATACCGTTTAGTCGGCGAACTACAGAGCAAACGGGGAAGGACTTCAGCAATGATTGGACATGAAAAGATGCGCCAGCCATATCCGTTCCTTTCGTTCAACAACTCAGTTGCAGGAGGACAACAATTTCGAAAAGGCCACTTCATAACTGTTGCACAAAATGACCACAAAGAGCAGCAACATGCATGGCATTAGCGATGACGTGTCCCAGTTGTATCCTTCAGCCTCGATTATTGCAAATGCATCCCTGACTCGCTGGCCTCAAAATCAATGCGCTGCAAAATCTCGCTATGAGACTGCCCGGGTGTGGGGCTGAGTCATCGCATGTTGGGTTCGAACTTCCCTTCCAGCCCATTCCAACAAGACGGATATGAGGTGTCACGGTACTCGGTAGTCATCGCAAAGTCGGTCAGTTTGAGCATCTTGCTGGTTTCAAACATAAAAGCTAGCTCATTTGAGGAGGATCTTGTTGGCGTATCGGCGAGACTACGCATATATCTCTTGAAAGAGGCGGCGTCCGGCCCGTGCGGAGCCATGGCGGCGTGCAGCGTGGAGCAACCAGGACCAAATCTCTGACTGTCTTTGGCCTCATAAGCGCCGAATATCACACCCATGTACTCTGACATACAGTTGCGATGAAAATACGGTAAACGGAACGTGTTTTCTTGTGATGACCATCGCGGTGGGAAAATGACAAAGTCGGCTACAGCGAGGCCCTCGATTGGGCCTGGTACGGTCAGAACGGTAAATATGGAAGGGTCAGGATGATCGAAGCGGACGCTGTTCATCGGACAGAATAGCGATAAATCGTATGCGAACGGGGCATAATTCCCATGCCATGCAACAACATCAAACGGGGAACTAAAAAGACGACACTTGAATATACCACCTTGATACTTTGTGATGGACAGGTACTCCACAGTTTTGTCGTCAAAGGAGGCTGTGGGGTACCTAAAATCTCTTGGATTTGCTAGCCCATTGGCACCGATGGGACCCAAATTGGGGAGTTCGAAAGAGCCAGAGTATACTTCCAGTACATATCCACGAGCTGCGCCGTCATAAATTGTGGAGCCCGGGGACTCCTGATCGAAAAACTTGACGGCAAAACGAATTCCTCTCGGAATGACGACGATGTGACCAGGGGGCACGACGAGGTCGCCCAGCTCTGTCTGAAAACGAAACGTCCCTTTCTCGGGAACGATAAGCATGTCTCCATCACTACTGGAGAAGCAGCAATTAATCATAGACTTGTTGGCCGTGTAGGTATATATAGCAAGACCTACAAAAAAAAAGCGCAAAAGAGGAAAAACACGAGCACAACGTTGTCAGAAGTCGCGCTGGTATATTTACAAGCAAATTGCTGGAAGGGAGAAAACGAAATCAACTCACCATTCCTATCAGCAGGATCACCGGCCCCAGCGATGGTTATGAGGCCCTCGACAAACGTGTGAGGTCCCTCTTGAGGATTTGTGACAGGAATAGGCCCCCACCGCAGGCGCTCCGGAGTGACGTGATCGGGCTCTGTCAGTAATGTGGCGAGCTGAGTGTCTGGGAAAACGTTCTCTTGGGCGGCGCTTGGACGGATGCGATAGGTCCAAGTGCGACGGTTCTTATGGCGAGGCATTGTGAAGGCAGTGCCTGAAATTTGCTCCGCATAGAGGCCATAGGGACAACGCTTCGGATTGTTGTGTGGGGGTAATGCGCCCTGTATTGCCTCGGAGGTGAACTCGTTGCCGAAGCCGAATTGGTACACAGGCCATGGGGGACGGCGGGTGCTTGCTCGAGGCATGTTGAAATGGTTTGTTGGGGGCATCGGAAGCGAGGCAGAGGAGGGAAGCGGAATGTTTGAGGACATCAAATGAGGATAAGCTTGGCGAGACGTACTTGGTTAGGGTATATAAATACAAGGGGGTGAGGAGAGTGGGCGACAGGCATCCGGAGAGAAGTGGGGAAGAAAAAGAGTTGCGTGAGAGGAACTGAATAGAAACGATAGGATTGCTGTGGAAGTTGTGTGTGGACACTTGAGGTTCCGTCATGGCCCGGAGACTGGCCAAGTTGTGTGAGTATTTTAGAGTGGACTGTGATCTGATTTTTTTGTTAGATCATGCACAATGCGCGTCTACTGCAAAAAGTGTAATGAACCTTTCTTATTATTGCTTGCTTTTTGAACCCCGAGTCGGTACCGCATTACACTTCGGCTCCGCCCTGGCCCATCAGGACGGCTCCACGTAACAAGCCGAATCCCCGCGGAGCGTTAATGTATCTATATACCCCTGTAAGAGCGGATCGGGAGACCTCATAAACAAGTGTCGCAACAGCTCTTGGAACGAAAGATCAGCGTGGTTTTTTATTTACGACCAACCGATATCAATTTCGACAGCTGCAAAATTGCCAACTCCTCAACCTTTCACATCTAGGTATAACATTATCCGGCTAACTAAACGGAATGCGCTAGCACGGGAAAGCAAATTTGACTTTCAGGAAAGAGAATCCCCACCTTGAAAAGTAGTCAGTCCTCAAGGACTCCCTCTTATGCTTCACCCGAATCGATTCTACAATATCATTCCGTTCTATGCTTGAGCACTGCTTGTTAAGTCACATCGCAAGTATCTGTCTTCAAGCCTCTCGGCCCCGGGGAGCATGAAGTTTATGGCTACATGGTCGGCTGCTTCCTCCCGACATCAAAGAGAGTCGTAGAGGGCAAAAATGGGACGCATGTAGTAGTTTTAGTTTTCTACGACGAGCCACATGCATCAATTTGTATTGGTTGATTCAAATTATTTTCGGAAGAGATCGAGTACACGCATATACTGCGGTTAAGTAGTAGTCGGCCTATATCTTTCGCGCCAAAACGACCTGCCACAATCACACACCGCCACTGAAACCTCCAAAATCTGGCACGTTTTGATCAAAGCAAATCCTGCTTGTCCGTTGCAGGCCCCCACTAATTTGACGTGAGAATGCCGCACACACTTTCACTACTTTCCACCTGGGTTGCTCCACCCTTTCCCCACCAGTTACACTTCCACTGACTCACCACACGCCATCAACCCCCCATCCGCACGCCGCTCCCTTCACAACTATGCTCAGCACACAAGACCGCGATAGAATAAAGCGCGACTTCAAGGATCATGCCCTGGCAATGCCAAGACCAAAGCCAAAGCGACGCCGGAGAAAGTCATCCTCTGCGCGCGCACCAGTTATGATGTGCCCGACTGATACAGTCGGCCCACGCATCCCGAGGCTTTTTCTTGAGTTCGAGCGTAATTCTCCGATCACTGCGCATATGGAGTGGCTGCACCATTTGGAACTATCCTGCGAAAACCAAGGCTGCTACGCTGCTGGGTGCGCGACAGGCTCTAAGAAGCTGGCTCGTGCGTCGTCCTCCTTTGCTCATGCCCACGGCGCGAAAACTCTGGTCAATGGAATGAACATGTTTCTCACATACCATATCCCACACTATTACAGCGTATCTTCGGATGAGGAGTGGCGCAAGGCTCTCGCCGCTCTGCGCTCCTTTCATGCCTTCTGCGTTCATCGGCGCTACGTCAACGATGACTCTGTTCTCATGCTAGCCTTGCATCGGCTTAGGAGTTTTCGAATACACACTATCCCTCATCGAATCCAGAAACTAATCGAAGACAGGTACTGGGATCGTCTCGACGACGGAGTTGGTCAGGAGCACGGTCCAAACACGCCGAAAACTACTGCTGTAAATTCCGCCGAGGTGGGATACGAGGCTTGCCTGGGGGGCGAGATGGCAGTCACCTTAGTCCAAATATTGCCAAACGGCTGGGTTGTAAGAGGTGATAACCAGTTTGGTGAAGAAATGAGTGTGTGTATTTCATTGCCTTCTGACCTCGCATCTATCGGAATGCTGGGGATGTCCCTGTCTTCTGTGCCGTTAGGACTGCGAAGAGGTCTCTGGAGACCTATTCCTAGAGATGGTGAGTCTACAGTGCCTATAGTCTATCCACCAGATGATGTATTCTTTTACTGAATAAGATTAGATTAGAGGAGGTCTCCTTTCTTGCTGAAAGCCGTATTTCTTGAGTACGTCAGCAATTATGAATCCGACTGACGCACAATGGAGCGAAGAAAACCAGATTCTGCGATTCTCCGCAGATACGGGCTTGATTGAGTAAAGAACAAGTTGTACATAGAGAGATTTATCAAATAAGTCTAATCCTTACTTTCTGACAAGCATATACTTTCTCATAGACGATTTAGGACGAAGATATATCCCAGAGTGCTGATGGTGGCCAACGTGCGCAACGCAAATGTTTGTACAACATCAATACAAGGGCATGGCATGCTTTTCGGTCGACGAACTTTTTTGTCCTGTCGTAGTTCTCTGCAGCTGCAATGGGCGAGGTTGTACCGCCCCGTTCGATTTCAACGCTGTGCAATACAAGGATAAAGTCTTGGAGTTTAGTTCATCCCGAGATTTTAGAACAAACCATAGATGCATACCTTCCGCCGCCCTGTATCGAGAGGAATGCTGCATGCTGCTCTTCTGCAGGGCTATTACGTACCTAAGAATGCTATGGTTTCAAACGTAAGTGACAAACTTTATCGGGGGCAAAAGAAAGCTTCTTTTCAAGCACGCACCGTCGGTGTTCTACATGTGTCAGAGAAATAAGAAATTACTCGGGGTCGGACTATTTGCATTGCACAGGAGGACAATGGCTTGTCTGTGACTCTTGACCCGATATCCTACACTCTTCCTGTACCTACCCTGGCCTTTGCTGAAGCGATTCCTGTGCTTATCGCGATGTCACGTTCGTATTGATACAAAGTCTAATAGACGACAGTACCACTAAAACATCATTCCCGTTTTAGAATTTACGTACAACGGCTGCGGCCGAGAAACGACGGCTACTAGTGCTAGTACTCCTGCTAACATTAGCAGGAGTACTAGCACTAGTAGTCGACTCCTGTTAACAGGAGTTTGAACCAGAAGACGCGAAGGCTAAACATCAAATATTTTTGAAACCCCGCATATTCCGAGGCTGAGAGCACCTGGCAATGACAACGCCCAAACACGCCAAGCACTGCTCAATACGTTTTGCTCCGTCAGCTACTGTGTGGAGTGAGGGCATTTCATCCTAATGCAGTGTTATCAAAGAGTACAGTCTTTCGTCGGCTTTTGTCTCGGTATTGACGTTCTCTTTAACTTCTGTTTAATTTGTTTGCAACTTTTTGAAACGGCTTTTGTCCTACATATTCGATAGTGCAACTACAGGTCTGCGATTGACCGGCATGCCCTGCACTGTTTAAGGTGCACTGCTCCCTCTTGTAACCGACTTTCAATATGGCTGAAATTGGGAATCTTCCTGGAAACTTCGTCCCACATGTTATTTCCGAAAAGCTGAGGAGGAGGGCATAAATACAAAAAAAGAATTTTGTATGGCCGGTGATGCTATGGAAATTTGGAAGGACGGTGCTGGAGAGCTTTTTTTCAATGCTCTACATGTAGAACTTGCCTGAAAAACACTTATGAGATGTGGTCTTCCAACTGTGCAACTGCGTCAAATCATGTTCATGTCTAGAGATAGTAAAAAATATCCAAGATGGTGTAAAGCCTATATACATTTTTTCCGGGAATACTTGTTGAATTCCTAGCGGTCAGCATTTTTTTGTTGATCTGTAGTAGAACATTTCCTTTGACCTTTGTTGCGTTTTCGTGGGTAGCTCAAACAACTCGCAAAGGCGAAGGCCTATTTTTCAAGGTGAGGTCATCAAAGAGTTCAGTGGAGTTCAAACCGTCATATACGAGTCCTGGCAAGCTTCATTAAAAATGAAAGTAAAAAACCAACTACAGGACACGTATTACAGTACATCGATTTTGATAAAAAGGTGTTGTCGAAACCAAAAACATGGCTTGTTTTGCGCGATATGCGGATCAACAGTTTCTATTCATCTGTTTTCGAAAAACACTCTTGCTCATAAACATCTGTCTCGCTATCATCGGTTGTGGCAAGTAGAAGTGCTTGAATATTCAGCTTGACGAGATTGATTAGGATTTCCTCAGGAAATACTGGGTCCTTGGAGGACAGTGCACCAGCAGTTGGATTTCAAGTCACGAATCATCCATCGTCATGGGTACTCGAGCGCGTGGATCTACGGCATGGATGCGACACCAGGTCGTGCAAGATCGGATGTGGCGAATAATTGATGCGAAGGATCAAGTACTTGGCCGGCTTGCGACGCAGATCACACACATTCTGCAAGGGAAACATAAGCCGATGTACTTCGACAACATCTTTTGCGGAGATCCAATTATTGTAATCAACGCACGTCACATTGCACTAACTGGTCGCAAGCGCTTCAATAAGCATTACATTCATCACACTGGCTATCCTGGTGGACTCAAGAAAGTTCCTATAGCGCAGGTGATGGAAAAGCGACCGAAAGACGTTCTTCGACTGGCTGTGAAAAGGATGTTACCTCCAAATCGTTTACGAGACGTGCGCTTGTCCAACTTGCGGATCTTTTTGGACGAAGAACATGATCACCATTCACAAAATCCAGCTCCCCTACCGCCTGTCAGTCGCGGGCCCCGCCTGGGACGTGGAGGACCGCCGACGTATTCGGAACTAGAAAGTTGGTGGACAGAGAATTTACTTGACGTTCCGGATAACATTCTCAACGAGGTTGTAGCAGAGGTTCGAGCAGAAAGGGATGGAGGCCCTTCCAGAGCCAGTCATCGGATAGGCCTAGTACAGGCGCTTGACCTCACAGCTGAAAGCGATTACACTCCTGAGCATAGAGAGAGGATAGGGGCCTACATCACCGCCGCTGAAAAAGATTTGGAGGAAAATGCTATTATTATACCCTCGTCATTAGCCTGATAATTCGATGACACGGGCTTGTCACAATATTCCACTTATCGCTAGTGTGCCATAAGTACGGCATTCTCGTTCTGGTCCAGAGTTAAAGAACAGTGTATCCATCCTTTTCCAGGAATTTGCACTGATTTCATCTGCACGCCGCCATTCTTTGACCAGAATGATACATCAACCATCTCCTCATACACACCCAAGAGCTCGAAGGAATATGCGACCTCGCTATCCATGGAATTGAAAACACGGAATCGTCTGTCTCCCATGGTTGCGAAGGCTTTTGCATCTCCTATCAACGCAAGGCCACGTTTCGCTCCAATGAGTGGGCACATGACCCAGAGCCCCCAGTCGTGCATTTCCAGTGAAGCTGTGACGGCATCACCAATAACTGCCTCTTTTGTTCTCCAGTTGTAGATCAAGGCAGTCGAGTGCAATTGAAGTATTTCCGTCATTGGAGCTCTATCTTCAGGCTTTAGTTCTGTACGAATACCAGTTCGAATTGCTGTGACATAGCGCCAGGCCTGGCAATTTGTGTCTGCCCAGAGTAAACCAGAGGGATTCCGAAGTGACCGATCTAGGGCAGCGAGGGGTACATCTGGCTTGATGAGTACTCCGTCTGCTCGGCACGTTTTCAGTACGACGTCACCATTAGTCTTCCCTAGACGATCACCGATTCCAACTGGTCCAGCAGAAAAGGCCGATAAGCATGCCTCTAGCAGAGCATTGGGATCCCCATCAATGTCAGGGAGGGTTCGATTGTTCGTGTGTGACATGAATACATCCTTGAACGGAAGCAAGCCCAGCGAACGGATGAGACAGCTCGTGGTCAAGTGCCACCTCCATAGAAGAGACGGGTCTTTAGCGTAGCGGTAGTCATCACAGGAGCGCATGGCAACGATTTGTTGCAATGAGGCGGCGTGGGCCATATCTGCGGGAGTCCCCATGCACCAGATCAAGCTAATATTTCTCTCTTTGGCACATCTGTCAAGCTGTTTCTGCCATGTTTCAACACGTCCTGGATATGCTCTCAGATCACGCACTCCCAGATAAATTTCAACAAGCCAGTCCTGTTCAAATGTTGTTGCGCCCCAGTCATATGCTTGCTGCATCCATCTCTCGAACAGGGCCGGTCCTGCAGGGTGAGCACGGTCTTTATCTACCCACCAAGTTTCGCCAGAAAAGGAAGAATCGGAAAGGTAATCAGATTGCGAGGAGATGTGCCTGCTGTGGAGAATGAGTGGTCGATTCCCCAACCGCTTACGGAGCCCCTTGATGGATTCCTTGCCGAGAACATCTTCACGGGGTTCCCAACGAAGCATTCCTGTCGGTGGAACAACATTGGGGTATCCCACGTCCGCGACTTTCCTAGTTATTTCATGTCTGTAAAACCAGCTGTCAAGTTCTACACACGCGACGGGTATATTTTTGTCGTCGAGGCTATCCAAAGTTGCCGCAAGCGTACTGGGTAAGTCCATTCCTTTTTCAGTTCTATACCAGTACGAGGCTCCATTATCTGTCCACATCGAGAGCTTCCCAACACTGACGTCATCGTATCTACCGCGATTGTTCACTATTACACCTTGACGCTTGGCGTGATCGCGTACCAGTGCACCCCACGTTTTGATAAGTTCTCGTGGAGAACGCCTAGTTATAATAGCTAAAGTCGTGCAAAACCCCGTTGGTACGCAATCCAGATCGCCAGACCATCCCCACTGTAGCTCCCTGGGACCTTCCTCAGTATCCGCGATAGACAGAACTTGATCATGGAAAGAATCCACAGGAGCTAACATAATACACTCGCTTGTCGCCCTACTCATAACGATAAGAGGAAACACAGAGCGAGGGCGGACATAACCAGGGCGACTAAAAAAATCAAACTTGAGCTCCGCATCGCAGGCGCGCACGGGAAGACTGAACTCTGAACACTGAAAGCCGAGAAAGTGAAGCTCAGCGGCATCTTTAGCGCGGTCCGGTTTCCAAGACTTTCGAATGCGCGGCTTGTCGAGCTGACCGGTTGACAGGCCCTTCAACGGGGCAGTCGCGCGAAGGTTGACATACAACACGTCGGAGGCGTATGGAGATTTTGAAACTTCGCAGGATACAGAAGGAGGTCTGCTCGTCTCGCCTGGTCCAAGAAAGCGCTCCACATTGGCAAGCGTGATACTTTGTTCCGGTGACGACATATGGCTAGCACTCAGAAGGCATGAAAATCCGTCTCTCGTACATATAATATGTGTCGACGCAACGGGCGAGATAATATTCAAGGGATGTTAGAGAACGAAATTTCCAAGAATGAGTTTTTTCGCGCCCTGATGCACCGCTCGGACCACGGACGGATACCAACAATACGTACTGTACGATATTTGAAGTTGGATGACTGTTCCAGCGTGAAAGGGGATTTCTGTGAAGTCTTTTTTAACATCGGCTCACCCATCGGCCTTTCACTTAAACCCTGTCCCGTCTTCCGTGGCTACCGCATACGTGCAGTTTTATAAAGATAACCGTAAGGCTCCTACAGATGAATTCCCCAGCTCCTCAATAGCTCTCATCCGAAAGATGTAGTGGCTTTCGTCGCTATGCTCTACTGAGTGCTTAATTGACTCACTTCACTGTCTCGCATCATGACAGTTCTGTTAGCGTCGACTTCGGAATCGTTACGAGAGCTATGAATGACCACACCTCCCAAGAGCATGCAATTAAATAATTGCGAAGAGGAGATTTAGGATCAATGTCTCGTAGCTGTGATGTCAAACGTCTGTCCACGTTTCTTGTGTACGTGATTAATATTCAAGTGGCGTATCAGTTTCTGCTTGCCTTCGCAGCACGTCGGACAGTTTGAGTGAACTGTGCGGGAGGGAATGAGGACACAGGCCTATCAGCCAATCAACCAAGCATTGGGAGTGCGAAGACATGAAGAAGGCTACATCATGCTACAAAGATTGAAAGGAGCGTCGGGAGAAGCAAGATGTAAACTGTTGACAGTCGTTACCCTACATCAGCTGCAAAAGAAGAGTCGTTCCTACATACATTTCTTCTTACTTCGTGTAACACTGCTGAGCACAGTCCCCAGTGCCTTTTTGAAAGCCATGCATTGCTTCCTCCTACGATCAAGTTTTCTACGGCGCATTTTTAAATGGGTTAGCCATGCACCAGAGCCGGATATTCTGCACATGTGTGAAGTAGAGGAGTGTGTCGAATGCGTAATTTACATCTACTGCTACTGCTGGTTTCTGCGATATACTCTTGATCGCATTCGTTTTTTTGCCGTATTAGTCACATACTTGACATTGCGTCTCTGATCAAAAGCAAAAAGCTCTTCTACTTTAGATTTCGCCTTAGAACATTCTTCGGGTTCGTTTCGAGCATACTGAATACTGTTATTCTTTCCATTAATGATGAAAACAATGACACGCTTTCAACACAGCCCATGTCCCTAGTACAGGTGGCCCCACCAAAAAGTTATAGAGTTTTTATTCTTATCAATATCGTCGATGGCTTTAATTTCCTTAGCTCGCGTCTGGGATAGAAGTAAACAAGGAGACTTCCATGGAAATTACCTTCGAGAGCAATGTGACACAATAAAGTTTTTATTGTAAGCAGCACGAGGATATACGAAACCGACAACGCAGTTATCTGTCACTAAAGGCGTGGTTCCAGGGATATATATCGAGTTGCTGGGTTGCATTTTGCAGTGATGAAAAGCCCAGCTTTCCAATCCTAACAATAGCCCGGCAGCTGTAGCAGACCCATTAAAGTTGGTAAAGACATTCTTGCTTGTGCATGATACAAGGAAATCGGCTTGTGGCGAGGGAAACAAATTTAAGCAAATTCTCCTAATCTGAATGGAAAAATGTTACTGGGAAAAATTAACGTTGTGGCCCAGTTTTTCCTGCTGAGAGACGTCATGTGCCACGCCCACCTTGGCGTTTGCTTGAGCGTGGAGACGCTTCAAAGCCTCTGTCCCCATCACAGCACTGTACCTGCAACATCTCTTGCGGACCAACTGAGATTACTCGGCAGGCCAGATCAAAGACTCGGCAACGTCACCGCTTCCCACAAATCCTAGGCTCATTCCAACTACAGGACGTGTCCCCGCGGATTTGGACAGTCGATTGTCACAGAGATGTCAACCTCCGCTGCTCTTGCAGATAAGGCCACAAAGTTGTTTGGGGCTCTGTGCGCTGGGGTTACCGTGGTGGGCGTTACAAGCCTCGTGGTAAACGTGTACTACAATACAGGGAGGCACAGAAAACCGATGCCCCCATCACTAGACGGCATTGAGGGGAGTCTCCCTGAAGAACCTGCGGATGCCGCGGCCACGGAATAAAAAGCCTAGTCACAAGGAAGCTGAGATGATAAGAAAGAGAAGATTATGTTTACAGTTGGTTAGTTCGGACTTGCAACAGAGTTGCCGTTCCGAGTTGTGTATCTAAAGGATTTCGAGGTTACCTCATAGCTCCTCTTTCGGTCTTTCAGTTTCTTCGAAGTCGGCTAAAATCGCATCTGCAGCTGCCTTCTCGCAAAAGGCTGGTGTCTTAAATTTCATAAAGTATGCACATCGATTAGGTTCTTCAACACTAACGATTTCTTCGGTGTCTCCGCAGCTGAGCTCTACCTTGATACTCCTTGCCGGTCCATTCCAACATCTATCGCCTTGCGCGAAATTCATTAACCTGTTTCTGCCATCACCTTTCCATCCTTTAAATCTTCCGAGCACGGCGATAACAGATCCGTGTTCATATTGTCTGACGAGATCAAAAGGGCATATCTCGAACTCGTACTGCGTGACAGCCTTCTTGATACATTTTCCATGGAGTTTTCGGAGAGCGCCATCTGATCCGTAGTCCAACGAGGTTTTGCCCTTAAGCTTCTTCAACCTCTCTTGGATATGCCTCTTCTTATCTTCAAGCTTGTACCTCGCGGTGTCCGCCTTTTCAACACAATCAGAAATGCGTTCTCTAGCAATCAAAGCCGGTGGTGAGATCGGCAATAGTCGCTGCAGCTTGGAAAGCACAATGATTTTGTAGTAATTTAGCTTGCGCAGTATCGAATTCAGCCCGTCAGCCCCGAGTTCAGCGCAAACCATGTCGACGTCTATGTCATCTGCATCTGAATTCCATTCTTCTGCATTCGCCTTCTCTTCATCTTCCTCACCATCTTCTTCGCAATCTGGGCACTTGTCGTCATCGTCTTCGTCATCGGCAAAGCTCTCGTCGTCGTCGTCGGAGTAGTCCTCGTCTTCGTCCTCATCGTTAGCGACGTCATCATCTTCAGCGGCACTATCTTCGTCAGTGTCATCATGTATATCGTCGTGGCTCTTGTGGTCTGACTTAGATTCGTTTTCGATTTCGCTTTGAGCGGCGTCCGCCTTTACCTTAACTTTTTCGTCTGGATGATCATCATGGCCCCCTTCTTTGTCCCCAGTTTGCAACTCAAGATTTCTTTCGCCGTCATTGCCGTGATCATCATGATTACCGATGAAAGCGTCATCGCCGTCATCGGAATCTTCATCGCTGGATATGCCAGTATCAGTGGCGGGGTTGCTGGTTGGTGAAGGGGAGTTCGTCTCTGCCGCACGGCGTAAATCATCTTCATAATCCCTTCGTTTGCGCAGACTATCAGCTCGCCTTCCACTCCTCTTCAAATCTATCTCCACTCTTTCAAGTTCTTGCTCGAGGTTCTTAATTTCCCTTTCATCCTTTTTGGCATCGGAGGCAGCCTCCTTCGCATATTTCTGTCGTGTAGCAACGCCTGCAATGATTGCATCTGCTTGTTTCTTTGCCATAGCCAGCTGTTTCTTTCTTTCTTCACTGCATGTGTCTGTGCAGGTACCAGCGGGCTCATCCGAACCATCGCAACAATCGCATGAGCCATCATCCACCCAAGACGAGGGCAATTTGACAGGTCGAAAGGCCTTGTTTCGACACCAGAAGACGGCGCCTGGACATGCTGCCGTGCCTGGCTCATCGGAGCCATCAGCGCAGTCGCAGTAATCGTCGTTTAATTTTGCAGGAGGAATAGATACTGGGGCATGTCCTGGCGCATCGCGTGGAGCACACACAATGCCTGACTCAAGTGCAGTGGTGTTTAACGGATGGGCACCACGCAAGGCATTGACATCCCGACACAGAAGGATCGCGGCAATGAATTGAATAAAAGGTGTAACAAGCATTTGAGGGAAAGGCGGCGATGAAGCTTATGGCGGTGCGGCGGATGTGGAGTTGAGGACGGTTATTCAAGGTGGATGAGGGATGGTGTGTGTAGTAGTATACCGGAGCAGAACGGTAGATGTATGAAGATGATTGGATAGGAGAGCGTGATCCTTTCATGGAATGGCAAAAGTTAGCCTTGGGAAACAATTTACTATTAATTTGACAAAAAAGCGTTTAGGGTTGCAAAATGGCTGCCTATGTCTTCTGCAAACTTAACGCTCATTTGCGCAGCCAAAAAAAAGTAAAAGCGTCACGTTGTCATCATTTAGGCCCGGCACATCCCCAAGCCTCTCAGCTTCGACAGGCTTCTCTCTCCCTGTTGTTCTTCGCCTTACTGTACACATATCATCAGCCTTGTGACATTCAACATTCTTCTTCATCCTCACCATCCTCAGCTTTCTTCCACCTCCATTTCCTCATGCTTTCTCCTCTCTACGGCAACGGGCTCTATTACTAGGCACTAATCACTGCAATTTGCCATCACACCCTTGCCTTGCCATAAAATAGAGCAATTTCATAATTGTGCTTTTTTCAAAGGCCCGCTACATTTGCGCCGCTCACACACACCAGCCTCCTCTTCGCCTCTCACTTTGTCTTCACCCCGAGGGTTTTATGACACACATCTTCGCACTCGCAGCTCATTTCAAGAGCTCTTTGCGTCCAAATTCCATAAACCTTATCGGCCTCCGTTCATTTTCTTGTCGCTTCAACGTCTCAACATTTCATGGCTTCAGACGGTAAGTTTCTCCGAAATACAACCACACGCTACGGTCGCGTCCGCGCATTCCGAATTCAATCGAATTTCCGTCCTCCCGCTGCGCGTCCACTCTCGCCTTGAAGCAGTCTTCTTACATGTTCTCGCTCACGTCAACATTTGTCTTATAGAGGTAGTCGCTTCGATGTCCACGTCGGAACTGGAGCGCCGAATACAGGCTGTTCATAACTCCATCAAAATAACAGACCACCAACTCGGCGAGGAGCGCGATGCTTTGCAACAGGACCGTTTTGGCCGTCGCCCCTCCGAAATGCCTAAAGAGCTGCGTCATCTCTATCAGTCTGGGGCATGGAGTCAACACAGAGTCTATCTGTGGCCCCTTGTTCTCGAACATGCACGCACTGGCCACCGTCTCGCTGCTCACGCGCAGTCAGAGCTTTCTTTTATCTCGTACAAGCAAAAAAGTCCCATGCCAGAAGGCGACGCTATTGCTGAAGAGGCTGTGAAAGAGTCTGCTGCAGCAAAAGCTGTCTTCTCTTCGCGGATGAGGAAAATTTTTTCTGCCCGGTGGGCTGCCCGTGATAGCAGAGATCGACATCTTTCGCGCACCTATATGCAAAAACGCAGGAGCTGGGTGACCTTACTGGATGAGGCCGAAGAAAACAGAAGTTCTGCAGTTGTTGACGCCGCCATCGCTAGAGACCGGCAGCTACTTGTTGCCACAAGGGCGACGTCGGGCATGGGCGGCGGTATGACGAACAGGGAAGTTGACCTCATTTTCCAGGAGATCGAAACAACGGGGGGAACAGCGGGAGGATACGAACGGTGGAGTAGAAGTATTACGAAGATTCCGAACCATAATCCCGATTACTTAATGCCCGCTTGTGACGGCGGTGGTGTGTTGATGCAGAATCCGCTCGCAGATCATTACGCGGCACGAAATGTCAATCCCTGGACTGCAGAAGAGAGGCGCATGTTTTTGGAGAAGTTTGTCATGCACGGAAAGAACTTTCGCAAAATCTCAGCCTTCTTCGAGCACAAATCAAACGAAGATGTTGTGAGATTCTACTACGATAACAAAATGCGCATGGGTTTGAAGCAGCTCTTGAAAGAATCACATCTGAGGAAGCGAGGGACGAGAAAGTTAGCTCTCACTGAGCTGGCAAAGCTGCCCACGGAGTCGCGGTCCATAAAAGACAATTTTATTCACCAGCCTGGATTCTTCGGTCCTGATGATAATGAAGAGGAGGAGAAAGAGAATGAAAGGGGTGATGCATTTTCCGATGGTGCAGTAGCCCGGAGCTGGACTCCTCAAAACAGACAAGCTTTGATTCATGCCTTATGTAGGTTTGACGTCGCCCAAGAGTGGAAGCCAAATGTAAACACAGTGTCAACAGTGTGGGAATCGATATCGGCCGCTGTAGGAAACAAAACACCAAAGCAGTGCCGGCACTTCTATACCAAATACAAAGACGTACTAGGACTTGGAATCTACGCACCTCCCGCATATGACAAGTGGCATCGATCTCCAAAACGGATCACTCCGGATTCTAACTCATCTGCGGAAGAGTCGCAACCACGAAAACAGCCAAAACTCAACAGTCTGTCAAGAAAGGCCAGCGCTCCTTTCCCGAGGTTATCCAGAGAATACCTCAACTACGGCGGTAATACTAATAGTATTGGCAACGGCACGAAGAACGGAGATGGCGCGAGCATCCGGAGTGTATAGGAAGAGAATGATGAAGTGATCGGACTACGGCACATTTGGGGAATTTATTGCCTTCGCATTCATTGAGTTGATCCCTTGTGCTCCTCGAAGCGAGGATCCACAGCCATCCGGAACCTTCGCAACATTTGCCGTCGACCGTCCTACGGCCGACAATCATGAAGGCTTCTGATGGCAACGCATTTAGGACAGGCCAGCGACTTACGCTGACGTACCCCGCATCGGGAATTGCCACTCCCCGTATTGGTTTGGTGGAGCTTGCCGATTCATACCGCTTGAGAGTAGACGGAGAAATTTGAAACAGCGGTTTGAACCATCGTTCACCTTCGCTGAATTTGAGGGTCTGAGCAGAAAATGCATTCTGCTGGCTCCAGTTACGCAACTGTCCCAGTCCCAAAGGCATGATAACGAAATATCTTTTCGATCCCAAAGGTCCTATGAACTTTGTCATCAAGAGTCACAGAACCAGAGGGACTTGGAGGGCGATCATCGTTCCAAGGAATAGTTAGAAATTGGTGCACTAGTATCCAAGGGGGTCCGCTATCTTTGAGCATGGAGCGTGTGCATCGGCGATGATTTTATTCACACGATTTTTGGCGGAGGAGTCGTTCCGAGGTGGTTCCAAGCCGCCTTCAGTCTTTGATAAACATCATGAGGCGAAGCACGATATTCGGAGAAGGAGAAGCACAGCCGTCAATGAGGACGGCACACGGCAGCAACTACCGAGAGGTAGCAAGCATAGCATGGTTCATGACGCTCGGGAGAGATGAAAGCGAGAATTTTCTGAAAGGGGCATATGATATCTTGCAACAAACTCCTCTCGGCCCTGTCTTGAAGGCCACGATCCGTCCAGATAACCGTCCTTGCGCCAGTAAAGCAAGCTGCACTGCAGGGCGCATTCATGGTATCCAATACCAATCGATATATATGTCTTCGTGTGAGTTTTCAAGCCTTCAAACCTGAATGCCGAAAGACGAAAGCAAGTTAAATATTTGCCAATATCTAGCATTCAACCCGAGTTTACGGCACATGGCGTAGACAAGTTGAAGCTTTCGAAATCTCTCCGAATAGAATTCTGTAAAGAACCGTACCCAACTCCAGGGAGCATCGTGGGGTCGCAAATGGAGATGCATGCCATACAGCGCTCTACTGGTTTCTCAATCTTCGAACGAAGAATGTCCAGGAAATCAAACAGACCATAGGAACCCCTTAAAAAACTTTTATGCTGCACCTCGCTGTCTTCGACTCGGAAGTCAAACAACTGGAGCAGTGAAACTTTGTGAAACATCGTATATCGCTGAGCTTTGTCTGCCGTGCCTCGTTCCCTCCTTACGTTTCGCTGAGAGGCGCGATCCGTATATGGCTCTGGACGCATTCGAAGGATTCGCAGAAGTCAGGGAGCTCAACAAATCATCAACTCTGGATGCTGGGGTTTCAGGGAGTTTACTGGTTCTTGTACGCTCAGTTAATTAGGTCTCGAACTACACATAGCTCAGCGTTCAATAACGAACCCCCCGCTGCTCCAACGATTGTGTTGTGTCCAAACACAACCATTCTGATGTCGAAAACATTGCAATCCCGAACCCGTCCAACTGTAACCGTGTAGCCGTCCCCTACCATTCTATCCATTCTAGGCTGCGGGCGGTCATGGGAGGGATTGTAAACGACATCATGATCTGGTGCTGATGGAAGCCCTAAGTCTTTGGTGATGCTGGGATATGTTTTGATGCAATCGATAACCTCCTCTGCGGTGGCCTTGTTCGCCAGTTTTATAGATAAACACTCGAGATGGCCGTCAAGCACGTTGACTCGGTTGCACATGGCGGCCACGTTGACGTCTGCATCCACAAAGACACTGTTCTGAACGGTCCCGAGAATCTTTCGCGACTCCGTTTCCATTTTGACTTCCTCCCCACCGATGTACGGAACAACATTGTCCAACACGTCCATACCAGAAAGACCTGGATACCCCGCTCCGCTAATGGCCTGCATGGTGGTCACCATGATTGTCTCAATACCAAACTTCGCCGCCAGTGGCTTTATGCCGATGGCCATCGCTGTGGTAGAACAGTTAGCATTCGTAATGATGAATCCCTTGTCGTAGCCTCGGGCCTTCCTCTGAGCTGGAATGATGTCGAGATGGTCCAAGTTGACAGGAGGGATTAAAATTGGCACGTCAGAATCATAGCGATGATTCTTCGCGTTGGAAAAGACGGCTACATCAGCCTTAGCGAACGCCTCTTCGACCTCGCCAGCAAAATTGGCGTCCAGACCCGAAAAGACGATCTTGACATCTTTAAATACTGGAGCGTCTGGTTTGCATTCTGAAACGACTAGGGGTGCCATTGCGGGAGGAATAGGAACAGATTGCTTCCAATTGACAGCGTCTTCATAAGTTTTTCCTGCGGATCGCGGGGAAGCACCAAGGGCAACGACATCGAACCACGGGTGACCGTTTAGAAGCTGCATGAAGCGTTGTCCGACGGACCCGGTGGCTCCCAAGACGCCGACTTTGATCTTCTGGCCAGGGGCTGGGGCGGCCATACGCATCGGTTGGGCGATGGAGAAGGGAGCGATGGCGGCGGGGAATCTATGGAAAGTGGGACGGGAGGCAGGGGTGAAAGCACTACATGACAAAGTAGACGTGCCGCGCGGGGCGAGGGGGGCCACTGCGGGGATGAAGGCTGGGAGCATTTTGGATGAGTGGGTAGAAAACACTAATGCACGAATGGCGCAAGGATATGGAGGCGTTGTGAGAGTAGGCTTGTCTTTGAGGAGCGGTACGGGTGTGGTAGTGAGTCGAGGGGAGTTTGAAGAGTACAAGTACGTGACGTGAACAGGGGAGTGAGATGAAATTTGACGAAATTCAGTTGTAGTAGCGCACCATGCGCTGGGCCAACGACCGGTGGATGCTTGACCTCAAGGTCACATCGGCTCCGTCATACAAGTTGTACTGTACCGTATGCTCGCGATCCTGTCTCGCCGGCGATCGCCAACCGAATGCGTGTTACATCCGCGAGGCTGCGCGCACTGCACGTGGATCGCCATTTCCTGCCATGTGATTTGACCGAGCAAAAAATCTCCCACTGCACTCTTTCTGCCGCACCACTCTATTTACACACGCGCTTCATTTTCCCGCCTTTTTTGAATGGTACTTCCTCCCCTTCAAATTTTCAAATTCTCCCTCCGTCAAGCCCACTCGCCCTTCGCGAGTGCATTCTGCTCTTCTCGAAACACATCGTTCCACACCTCTGCCGCAGCTGACCAGATCCCGTCGCCCATCCTCTTCACACCAGTGTTATCTTCCGCCTGTATTTCCTTCTTCCTCATCCCTTACCCCTCCTCATGTCTCCAATCGCACCGCCGCAACCGCGGCAATTCTTCACAAACCCGGACGAGCAGGAAAACACGCCCCACGTAAGAAACGATGACCAAAACGCATCCAAGTCTTCTAAGCGCCCACCGCTCACAGTTCAGAAACAGCTTTTCCAAACCCCAGCCACCCAACCAAGCAAACTTGGCAGTCGAATAGCCAAGACTCCAACCACTACCCCCGTTAAGCCTCTAGAGAAAGACTCTGTCACGAAACGTCACTTTCGTCGTCAGAAGAATTCAGCCACAACTACCCCAAACGCCACCCGCCGCGCTCCTCGTGCCGCCACATCCACAGCACGAAACAGGCCCGAAATCTCCCACCTGAATACCACTCCTGGAGTCCGTCCCAGCTATGTTCTTTCCCGTCCAGAGATGTGGCGCAAAATGCAAATAGAAGACCTTACCGCTTGGCTCAATTCTGAGCTCGTTGACTCTACCTGGAGCTATGACTGCGTCATGATGTCGAACGTTTCTGATTCTGCCGTCTTCTTGAAACAAGCCTCCGCCATGCACCATCTATACAAATCCCCAGCGGTCCAGAAAGTTCTCACAAAAGTCGATGCAGAAGTCACCCAGAACAGGCTCTTCATCAACAAGAAGATTCATCTCTCGACCCATCATGAGCATAGGGAAAGGCTTATTTCCTTGCTTTTGCTCAATTACAATCCCAGCTGGCTTCTCGTTGGCCTATCTGTTATTCTTGAGTATAACATCGGTGCGCAATTAGATGAGGCTGTTAAGAAGGCTAACCCCTCTACACCCCGACTGGTTTCGGAGACGCTGTTCATGTCTGTCCTTGAAAATGCCATAAGTAAGCACTTTCTTGCCAATGACCAACCTGGCATAGATTTCCAAAACATTCCTCGCTCACTCAAGGGAACACATACAGCTGCACTTCGGCGTGAGAGCTACAACGCCCTAATACTCAAAAGAGTATTACACCTCATTTTCTTAGTCGATCAAGCGAAGCAAAATCGCGGTCCCATAATCCTCACAGACCCTCCCCTGTTTCGCCGTGATTCTGACATGACGTCGTCCAAGGATGTCATTGATCAGATGGGAAAGGACTTCTTGCCGGATCACGGCGACGTCGCTAGGTTTTTAGGGCACCGTTTGTACAAGGTCACCTATGAAACTCCACTTTTCGAGAGGGACAGCCTTCTCGTGACAAATCTCGCAGAGGATCTTCGTGATGGAACACGCCTTTGCAAACTTGCATCTATAATGCTGAAGGACCGTAAAATTCTCAACGGCATTCGACGGGTAAAGAATGGGATGTCTCGCGCGGAGGCACAAAAGTGTCGCCTAAGGAACGTGAGTTTAGCTCTGAGCAAGATTCAAGAACATGCGAACAATAATTTAACGAAGTCTTTCAAGTGGATTTGGAGCCATGAGGACATTGTGAATCAAAACCTTCCGAAGACTGTTACATTGTTGTGGCAAGTGGTAGGGTTATGGTTGGAGACTGTCGTTTTAGACAAACAGCATTTGCACGACGAACTGAGTGTCGTGCAGAATGAGTGTCGTGAGGCTCGGAAGCATCGTAGACCTGGTTTGTGGTCACCAACTGGCAGTGCTTCATTGTTAGACAGAGCCGCGCATGACGTCAGTCCAAGTCGCCTAACAGTATACGAAACTTGTGAGAGCGAGCACGGTCACCTTTTGCTGAGATGGTGTGCCACAGTAGCTCATATGTACGGTCTCACGGTCAGGGATTTTTGTGAGAGCTTTCGAGACGGAGCAGTGTTGTGCGTGATCCTTCATCACTACTGCCCTGCACTTGTAGCCATTGATGAGATCAAACCGGTCCAGCAGGCGGATTTGCGGTCGGTGGCAGACTCCGAAGCGGAAGCTGCTCTTGTACAGAAGAATTTCGACCTCTTTCTGAAGCGCTGTCGTAGCCTCGGCGCCATTCCAAGTATTCCGATACGAGCAGAAGCGGCTTTACAGAGAAGTTTTGTCTTTCCCGACAAAGAGGAGTCTTTCGGACGAGTAATGGAAATGTTATCTTCATATCTGTTTAGAAGATTGGTCATGGAGAAGGAGGGTCGCACAGACAGGGAATTCTTGAAGAGGGTTTTTGCCCAAGGGGAGCGATCCATAACTTCCGGTGCCGGCCGTGACCAAGGGAGCCCCGTTCCTAACACCATTTTGACTCCAATAGATACCGGAGCTCGAATTGCCTCACCGGTCTTGACTTCAGTCGATTCCATTGCTCTTGACGGCAGATTGGAGAGGGGCTCAGAAATATGGCAACCTCCAAAATTTCAGCATACTCGGGACGCTGTTGTGAAGTCGAAAGACTTTCTTCAGACAGAAGCACATGAACATAATGGGACAGGAAACCGCGATGATAGTAATCGACATTTAGAGTCCCCGTCTTCTTCACTTGCACCTGCGTCTTCTCTCAGTAAGGAAGAGGCAGCTGAAGTCATTTTTCGGCATTATCGATGTGCAAAATCCCGTCGGCAGTTTTTGCGGATGAGAAGCGCTGCTGTAGACATTCAATCTTCAGTCAGAAGGTTTTTTGTTCAATCGAAGGAAGTGTTTCCGAGGCTGCAAGTGTCAAGATCCTCTCCATCTACAACTACGCTTTGTCTGAAGCCATGGCCGGAGATTGCGGCGGTCGGGGACGGACTTAAAGGATTTGTCGCAGCAGAGGCAAATGCGAAGTCAACATTTCAAGGAGAGAAGCCATGGAAAGTCGTTGAATTAGTTTCCTCTATTCTCCCCCTACTACGACGACACGCACATAGTACTTCAAATTTTGCGGAGCAAATGGTCCAACATGAGAATAATCACGCTGGAACACTGGCAAACAATGCCGCAGATGGGCAGCAGACCTACGATGTGGTAGCAACTGCTGAACAACGAGCCAGTCGTGCTGATGGAAGCACAAGTTTGTTGCGCTCTATGGTGGCCAGCCTACATGGAATAGTAGCGAAGAATGTCCCGAGTCTCATATCCCGAGCAAATTCAGAGAGCCAGGTCGCATCGTCAGCTCTACAAAGAATTCTTAGTGAAGCGGGGAAAGCGTACGAAAAGGCCATCAATGATGCACGCGTTCGTCGAGAACGAGAGGGTGCGGCGTGGCGAAGAAAGGAAGAGCTAATGTCACTTCTGAAAGATGCCGCGAGGGTCTACGAGGAGCAAAATTTGGAAACTAGGAGAGACTATTCATCTATCGCACGCGGCTTGGCAGATACAGAGGTCAGAATGTATGACGCTGAAGAGTTTATCCGCTCGCTTCCACTTTTCAGGTCAAGTGAAAACGAAGAGCATCATACGAGCCTGGACACTAGTGTAGAAACGGAGAATGCGAGAGAAGTTGTCCGAGACGATGATTCAGAGCAATTACTTCGGGGCATGAATCAATTAGAACTAGGATTCTCACGTATACGAGAGCATTGTGCACAGGAAATCGATATCGAAAATGATATTTGTCATCATGATGCCTTATGGAAGGCTGAATTAGAGGCCGAAATCGCGCTTGCTACATTCGTGAGCTCTCGGGATCAAGAAAATTACCATCTAGCGAGAGAGAGAAAGCGAATTGGTGATCTTTTGTTCAAGCTAAGTGCAGAAGAAGAACTGGAAAAGCAGCAACTTGACAGCGATATCTTAACGTTCGACAACATTATTTGCAATCTATCAGCTCTCCAATCTGCATCCAGTGTTTTCAATAGTAGTGGGGCTGAGAATTCTGAAAAACTCTTTAGAATGTTAGATTCCCAGTGGAAGACTTTACAAGAAGCCGACGCTCGATTTTGTCTCACAGAGTCCTCTGAAAGTGCTGCTCTTGAAGACACCCTTCTCACTCACACAAAAGCGTGGGATGAGTATGAAGAATGGCTGTCCGAGTGGACGGCAGAAGAAAACACGCTTGATGACAAGATCCGTTGGCAGACTGAAAAAGAAAAAGAGTATCGAGAACAGCTCGAGTCTCGCCTGGAAGCAGCAAAGGAAGCGTTCCTCTCGCACATGCGTGGAAGTCGTCAACTTCAAGAAACAGAAAAGAGGGACCGTGCCGAACGGGAGAAAAAGCGTCTTACATGGATTGATGAGGACAGGCAAGCAAAATCAGAGCTAAACAGCGATTTCCGCAGTCTCGAGAACGCTGAGGAGGTGTTAGGAAAGGTGATGGAATCTGGAGATGCTGTTTTGGAATGCCTTACTACTCCTGCAAGAGCGGCTAACTTTCTTTCTGTCTGTAGCCCATCGCTTGACAGAACTGCGAGAGCATCTATGTCGCCGCATGATTGTCACTCTGTTAAGTTGTTGAAAGACATGGATCATCTTGTGCACTCGTGTGCGAGTTTCGAAAAGGATAGGCAGACTGAAAAAGAAAAAGAGTATCGAGAACTGCTCGAGTCTCGCCTAGAAGCAGCAAAGGAAGCGTTCCTCTCGCACATGCGTGGAAGTCGTCAACTTCAAGAAACAGAAAAGAGGGACCGTGCCGAACGGGAGAAAAAGCGTCTTACATGGATTGATGAGGACAGGCAAGCAAAATCAGAGCTAAACAGCGATTTCCGCAGTCTCGAGAACGCTGAGGAGGTGTTAGGAAAGGTGATGGAATCTGGAGATGCTGTTTTGGAATGTCTTACTACTCCTGCAAGAGCGGCTAACTTTCCTTCTGTCTGTAGCCCATCGCTTGACAGAACTGCGAGAGCATCTATGTCGCCGCATGATTGTCACTCTGTTAAGTTGTTGAAAGACATGGATCATCTTGTGCACTCGTGTGCGAGTTTCGAAAAGGATAGGGTCACGTCAGCTGCCTGCAATGAGAATGCTGAGGATCTGGATGCGTCTGAGAATCCTACGAGTCCAGTAGATGACGACTGCGGGATCATTTTATGTTCGGATTCGGATGGAGCATCTCATCCCTCAGTTGTCTTGGGGGATGCGCCATCACCCCTTGCCCCCATTGGCAACACGCAATCGGAAGCTGAAACAGAACTTAAGTTACCAAGCTGTCAAGCAGATTCCGTCGATATCAAGCTTACGGAAGATTCACGGCAAAGAATCAGCAATCTCCCCAACTGCTCCCCGCATACTACACTTTATCAGGAAAATGTAGTGCCCCGAGCTGAGAGCGTCGCATCTCAACAACAATCTCCGTCACATGGGAAGGTGGAAACCCTAAACATCTCCGTTCAAGCAAGTCCTACCATCAACGATTCATCGACATTAACACTAGGAGCGATGCTGGGCAATTCAGACAAGAGGGCAAGGATTATTGATACTATGACAACGGAGATTGTAGGTGCAAGGTCTCCGAAATCTAGAACGCGGTCCCCTTCGGTTGCAAGGATTCTCTCCCCTTGTGAGAATCGAATTGCATCCACTCCCAGTCGCAGGGGCAACGTTTTTGTTGATGACGCAACACAGGAGGGCTCTCCGAGTGCAATCTCACCCAAGTGTGGTAGTGCAAACAAGGCTTCTGGATTTTCTTCTCGTTTATATACTGGACCTCGAACGCCGAATCCGTCTTTTTCAACTCCACTACAATGCCTGCTTGATCTTGATCGTCCCTCTCGGTTATCGGAGTATGGAAGCATCAAGCAAGATCAGGGGTTCGCTTCATGGTCCCCAAGCTGTTCGCCACTATGGCCTTTAAAATACATGGATGACACTCCAAGAACGACGAGGGACCAGACAGAATCGCCACAAGGCAAGCTTTTCCCACTTCTAATGTCTTCGCTTGACCATGTCCCGCCCGGAAGAGATCCCTTCCATGATTCTCATAGCCCACGCCTGGGAATGTTGCCGATGCCATGTGATGAGGGTGCATGGGTTCATTCTTCGGAGACAGTTGGTTGTTCGATGATGACGAACAGATCGCACAAGCACTCTAATACTTTGCCCGAGGAAGCTCTCAGCCCCAATAAGAACATCTCATCCCCACGCTCTGATCAGAACCCTAGACGCCCAGAAGTTTTTGGAATCACTTCAAGCCAGACAACAACCCCTGTCAAAATGGGGCAGGGCTCTTGCAGTCGCAGTGAGCAGTTCCGTAGGCTCTCTTCGCAGTTGGGTGAAATGATTGGTTCCAGTGCTCACGGTGTCGAGACGGGTGTTAACTTTGGGTATTTAATGAAAGACCCCATGTCTTCATGTAAGCTCACCTCGGTGATGCGCCGCATTTCTAACGCCACTTCTTCTCCCCGTTCGACACCGCCATCCAGGCAGGAAGAATTGGATGCGTCAAACATTGTTAAGATCATTTTTATTCTTATCCGCGAGTGCAACCGTTCGTTATCGCATGGATCTCTGGTGGTTTTAGGTTTGTCAATCATTCGTGACATGGCGAAAGATGCCTGCCTTGTTGATAGCATTTTCACGGTTCAGGACTGGTTGGCAGTTCTGGTGACTTGCATGTACTGCTATCAAGACCAGGAAGAGATTCTTTCACTTTCTTGTGAAAGCCTTGCGCGGCTATCACGATACGAATACGGTGAAAGGGTTATTCGCGCCGACGAAGCTATTGTCTACCGAATCAGATCGATTGAACGTATTTTGCTTCTCCAAGCTAGTGAGCGACAAAGAACCAGTCACCGTTTAATTCGCATGAAAGCACTGAATCAAGCTTTGCTGGCTCTTCCCCAAAATGGTAGACGTCTGTCTTCCGTGGAAGAGCTCATTCACGATCTTGGTGCCGTGACCGCACCAGAATGTGTAGAGGAATCCACTTCAAGAAAGTGGTTGTCAAAACTGTGGAGCCAACTGCACATGTGCTAGGTTCGGCTTCGTGTCATGCATTGGTACGGCGGAAGCAAGTAGAGGACAGAAGCACCTATACGTGCGCTCGTATCCGCCTGCACCGAGCGATTAAGGACACTGTCATTCATGTTCCGCTTCGTAGAGTGAGGTGCGGTTCTATTTCTGAAGCCCCGATTGCCACGTTATTTTTCCAGGCTTACTCTCCGTTGTGAGTGTCCTGAAGTTTAGCAAACCCTGAGTTGCCAACTTGCAGCAGCATTAGCATTTCTGTGTGTCTATTCTATGACAACGATCAGTGGAGCTATCTGGATCGGGTTAACATTGTATAAAATCAACTAGATACAGCTACAGCATACCAATGAAAACGCACACACCTGATTCTGAGGAAATGTGGGAGCGCCCTAGTGGTGATGCCTGAAGGATTGCAAGTGTATCTCAGCTTTACCACATCGTTTTGCCAAGCGTACTAAGTTTGGTACAGAGTCAGAAAAGCGAGGAATTATGTCGCGAAGCTTTTGGTCCGATTCTACTACTGCCTTGCTGTGTCCTCTTTTTATCGATTTGAGGTAGTGACGGAATGTTCGTACCGCCATTGGACTCATCGAAGCTCTGCATAGGACCCTTGTCCAAATTGCGAATGGGCATTCTGCAAAGTCAAGTGAGGCCTCCAAAACTCGTGGGTTTTTTAGTACCATTTGATGAGGTGTCTTAGTCGTAGAACAGTTCTGCTGTCGAAGCCGTTTGTTTGGTTCCAAAGATCGAAATTCGTGATTGAGGCTTGTGCCTTTTTTCGACGTTGGGACTGTAGCAAGTCTCTCGATTATCTAGGGACCCACGATTGCAACTACATTCCTGCTCAACTCGAAGGAAGAGCCCAACGTGCTTTGACGTAGGCCTTGAGGGACTTTGAGCAGTTGAGAAGTACGGTCTTCTAAAGCTAGCGCCATGAGTTTCCCATCTCTGCAGACAGATCGACACAATACTCATTCATTCGGTCCGTAGGATTAGGAAAAGTTATGGTGGGCTCTTTCGATAGCCAATTTGTAGCGGAAGTGAAAAGCGCAGGATCTCTTTTTAAAAATTTCACTCTGTCTCGAAAAAGACTTTGAAATGGGTGTTTCAGACACACTTTCTTCAGCTACAGAGTACCGTACTACAGCACATGGATAATTAGAGGGCGTACATATGCAATGAACGCTGAATGCGAATCTATTTTCTGCACAATGGCGCGAAGATAAAACATGAAACAAGCCTGTGGCCGCCACATTGTTTATAGGCGGAAAGGGGCGTGCCAGTCACTACTTGTAAATACGATAGCAAGAGCTTTTGAGAGTGCTGGTCCAAAGCGCCGGTTATTTGGCTCATACCTCAAGTTGGCGAGAAGGGAATGCCGCTCTTCTAGAGTGGAGCACCGACTGAATGCTTCTTGCAGGTGAGAAAAGGTTGGATACGCCCTTCGTATTGATATTGCCTTCTCGAAACTCATCCGTGGGACTAAGGCAAGGAACGCGAGATACATATACCCAAGGTCGAGAGACCCTTCTGACCTCATTATAGGGACAAGAAAGGTGGTGTCTTCCTGGCCATGCGCTACATCTGGGTTTTGGCCGTATTCTTCATCACCACTCCCAGTCTGACGAGCGAGGTTAGTGCCTTGTAAAGCAGTGACTTCTTGCAATGAAATGACCGTGGAGCGATTGGACAACTTTTTCCTGGCATCGCGATAGGCAAGGCTGGCATCAAGGAAATCATCTTGATGGTAATATGGCTTGTCTACGATGGCGTTTGTCAGCTCCAGGATGTACTTGCCAGCATCAGATGCATTGACAAAGGCTTGAGTCCGAATCCCGTAGTCCATGTACAGAGCGGTATAACTATCCTGCACTGCCTGTAGGGTGACGACAGGAGCCTTCGAGCCCTGGCGAGCGGCGAGATTCCTTCTCCGCTTGCATTCAGCTTCAATCCCGTATATAGCATAGAAAATTCGATCTCCTTGCCTCCTAGTCAACAACTCCTGCGCGACAGAAAAAAGACTTCCACCGGGACTACGATTCATCATCATGTTCCAATATTCGATGCCCGAGAAAACAGCAAGACACATACTTGCGTTTTTGGATTGTTGGTTTGATGGACCTGATGAAAGCGAAGGGCTGTTAGTTTTCGTCCGCCATGTGACGAGATTGTGCAGATCAAAATCGCTACAGCAAATCTGATGAGGGAAGAGCGTGCGAACGTGACTTAAGACGTCTTTTCGGGTGGTTGTGTTGAAGAGTTGAGGAGACACGACTAATTCAACTTGATGGAGTCGGAATGTCCCGCTTTCTTCGGCGTTTGAAAAAGCTTGACGAACCCTTGCAATATCTTTCGTTTGTTTGGCAGCCGCCCGTTCCTCGCGTTGACGATCTTGCTGAAGTCGTTTTGCCTCTGCTGCAGCTTTTCTTTGCTCTTTTTTTGAAATTTTCAAAGCTTCTGAACGCTGTGGGGCGGATTCAGGCAATCGAATTGTGGGCAAATCTTCGTCTGATAGTGTTGAGGGTCCTTGAGGACTGTGCTGGAATGTCGGTAGAGGAGAGAGGTGTACAGGGGTGGCTGGAGAGGCATTTCGGAGTTCTCGGGTGGTGTTAGTTGGAGCGTAACGATTCAAACTGGAATGGCCTACGTTCTTTGGGCGGAGGTGTTCTCCTTCGTCCGTATCCTGTTCGCTCTCAGAATCAATTTGAATGACATTGCTCTGAGTTGTCATCGAAATGCGCGGTAAGACGAGTGCTGCCACTCATGCCACCGGGGACAGGACTGACTCTCAGGCCATGGTGGACGAGGTGCACCCGAGCATGGCATGCAGCAAGAAGATGGCGGGAAGAGGAGTGACGCAATTGCACATGTGCTGCCACCTTGATCGGGGGGTCGAGCACACGTTACACGTGGCATACTAGTCTTCGTGTATACGTGTATACGTGTGCGCATAGTATGTACCGGTCCAGCGAGGCGAAATACTGTGCCAGTCAATGATCACCCTGGGCGCTCAGGAAGCATCTCAGGGACGTTGCAAGTGACAATTGGTGCGGAATGGACCCTCCTGTTGCAATTTCCTCAGCACCCCCTTGGACTAAGTAGGACGGACGTGGAGAGGTGGGCAACCAGTCTCTATCACGCGACTATCTTTGTCAACGAGCCTCCTTCGTAGACAAACCCCACTTCCAGCTTCACATTTCTCCAATGAGGCCAGCCGCCCAAGCTGTGCAAAACCTTTCCGCTGCCCCATGACGTCCCCCAGCGCCGCCCTCTGCACGGCCGTGCGCTCTGGCGACGTCACCGCCACCCGCACCCTACTCGCCGCTCTGCCATCATCAGCGCCCTGGCCCCAAGATGACGACGGGCACTCCGCCCTCCACTGGGCTTCCATGTCCGACAACCCCGCCATCCTCCCCTTGCTTCTATCGGCCCTTTCCTCCACGCGCCCCGTCGATCTCCGCGCCACTGCCCCCGCCCAGGCAGGGCAGACCCCACTGCACTGGGCCTGCGTGTCAGGAAACGTTACCGCGGTGCAAGCCCTGCTGAACAGCGGCGCCGACCCCGCCGCCACAGATGAGAAGGGCTACACCGCCGCCACACACGTCGTGCACTATGGCAGAGTCGACCTGTTGCACATGCTGACTCGTACTTGCCCGTCGCTCATGGCGATGGCGGATCGGGAGGGGCACACGCTTTTGCAATGGGCCGCGTACCATGACCACGCTGGCGTCGTCGTCTACTTGCTCAAAGTTCGCTGCGTAGATCCGAGCGAGCCGGACGCATCTGGCATGACCCCATTGCACCGCGCCGCGCAACGCGGCCACTCGGTCGTCTCGGAGCATCTGCTGAGAGGGGGGGCCGACTTCACTGCAAGGAACGCAGCCGGGAGGACGCCAGAGGAGCTTGTGGAGACCCCCCGGGGGCGCACGAAAGCCATCTTGCGCATGTGGAGGATGGGGAAGCTGACAACGGCAAGACCAGTGCCTACAAGGCACACCCTCACGAAATACGGACTCGTTTTGTTTTATTGGGTGCTTTTGGTGGTGTCCTTCGTTAAGTATCGCCAACTATTGTATGGGGCAATGCCGGTCGGGGTGGGGATGAATATTGTTTTTCATGTGGCGCTGGTCGTGTCTGCGAGCTTGCATCTCGCCTCCACGTTTGGAGATCCCGGGGAGATTGCCCAGGGCACCGCGGAGACTTGCAGAGCGTATATTGAGAAGGTATTGGCAAACGGGACTTCCGAAGCTGCCCTCGTACCGTCTGCATATTGCTTCACTTGTCTTGCCCCGCGGCCGCCGAGGTCGAAGCATTCGAGAGAGAGGGACCGCTGCGTCAGGAAATTTGACCACGAGTGTCCGTGGGTAAACAACACCGTGGGCCTCTACACCCACAGGACTCTGCTACTCCTCGTTCTGAGCACGTGTGGCGGAGAATGGGTTTTCATCTACCTGGTGATTAATGGTGTTGCCAATTCCCCGGGAGTTACAACTGTGACGTCCGCTCTGTTCGCGATGCCACTACTCTGCATGGTGATTGCTATGCATTTTTGCATATCGCTGTTTTGCGTCATGCTGTTCCTGACGCACGTTCAACTAGTGCTGCGCGGACAAACGACCTACGAACATCTAACTGCATCTAAAAACAAGCTGACTTCAAATCCCTACGATTTTGGCTGGAAAAAGAACCTCATGTCGTTCTTGACCTCAACCGGTTCCGGAACTGGAAAGTCTTTGCGGCCCTTTTCAGCATCGATTCTACGAGAGGTGGTACTGGCGACGGACAGTGGAGCTTCAAAACTGGACGCAGAGCACGCGAGAGCAATTCCAGTCTATCAAACTGATGAAAGCGACGAATTGTTCTATGCGAGAAATTCGTAAGCCCTCAACGGGGAACTGCAAACTCTATCTCGGATCGCTAGATTTGTCTGTGGTTTACGTCCAAAGTTGGAGAGGATCAACGCAGCTCGTATGCACCTAGGGCGCCTTATCCAGATTCAGCGAAAAAGAGTTTCGAGGAGATTGAAACCCCCGATGTGAAAAAGCTAAAGCTGGCCTTGGGGAACTAGCGAGCGTGATGCCTAGCGGGGATACGCTGTTTCCGTAAGATCCTCGTGATCCGGCGAGCTCTGGAATCATAAGCGATAACAACGCAGACCCGGAACCCGAACCTTCGAACGCTGTGCCGAGTATATCACTCATATTTCCGGACCATGCTCCGTTATACTTCAATCCGCCAGATAATGCAGCAGATGGCTTCCGAGTGTAGTATTGCTGACCAAGCTCAGCAGTGTAGTCGCTCATATCCTTCGAGTCGCCCGGCATATTCCGTCCACTGCCGGATTGCGATCTCAGTCGTTTTGCGCCAGTTATTGTCGTGAAGTAAGGCATCAATTCTGGCTCCTCGTCCTTCAATTTGTCGACGCCAGAGCTAAACGAGAGTCCCATGGCTAGCGAAACGTCCATAGCTGTTCCAAGCGAGGCATCGGAACGATCTATTCCAAGCTCGTTTGACTTTCTGAAGGAATAACTTGTTGGCAGTTGCGATAGGTTTTTGTTTTCCGAGACTCCAGCTTTGACAGCGGCGCTTTCTGCTGGGTCCATACACTCAGTCACCTTTTTATTCCTTGTACCTGCTTCAGTGGCTTGATCCTCTACTTCTGTCCCAATTTCTTGATGTTGATCCTCTCCGTCATCGTCCTCTTCATCGAAAAAGTCTTCCTCGTCGTCTTCTTCGTTTTCTGCACTTTGCTCATCTTCACGAACTCCTGTTTCTTCAAGTTCATCCTGGATATTTGTGACTTCTGTAGACTGCTGACCACTGCCCCAGGCTCCTTGCGATAGCTCCTCTCCAGGCTCGTACGGTGGTACGACCCGGTTGGAGCCAATCGGCGCCGCAGGCCTGTAAACTAAATCATACAGACTTAAACCTTGTGTTTCTGCAGCCAGGTCCATTTGTTCCTTCAAAGATAACGTATTGGACGCGCTCTGATCTTCCTTCGAATATGACTGTCCTTCCGCGTTTGGTCCGGCATAATGTCCCACATTCGATTGCATTCCTAATGGTCTTTCTTGTCCCCCCGGAGGTGGTGCTTTGTTATTCAGGTGCGATGCGCCTGCCCCGCGCGACATATCCTGCGGTGCGTTTTCCGCGGGTGAATGACGATGACGCTTTTGATGGACTTGCTGTCTGGGGGGTTTCTGCTGCTGTTGGCGACCAAAGTATGATTGCTGTTGAATAGCATCCTCTGTATCTTGTGTGGCGACTGCAGTTTCGGCTTGCAGTTGTGCACTCACAAGATCGGGGAATCCGCCCACGTCAGGTACATTGGGACGTTGTGCGCGAAACGATGCCTGCTCATACGGATTCATTTTCTGTCTCTGCTGCACACCATTGTTGGCAGCATACGGTAGCGGCGCGGGCTGTACATCGAAGTTGAATGCCTTATCCGGAGATGCTTGAGCCTGCAACATGCTCAGCTGTTGCTGACGTCGCTGCTGTTGCAATTCATTGAGCTCCTTCTGTCTGGCGTAGGTCTCCTGACTGAAGCCTTGATTGTGCAACATCTGTTCCGCCTGCTTCCTTGCCAGGAGCTGTTTCTGCTCGTCGGTCGGGGGCTTCTGGGCGTGCTGCCTCGGCGGCATCGGCGGGTGCGGCGATTGCTGCGCCTGCACGCGGAGCTGCTGATGCTGCTGCCGCTTTTGCTGCTGCTGCTGCTCCTGCTGCTGCTGCTGGCGATGGTTTACATATGAATGCATGTTCTGCAGGTGCAGCTGCGTGAAAAAAGGGTCAGCCGTATCAAATCCGAACGAGTTCTGCGGGACGGCAGCCATACTCTCATACCCAGGGAGCTTTCCCATCCTGCCCTGGGGGTGTTGAGGGAAGTTCGGGTGCCCCCCTCCTCGTTCGGGGACATGGAACGCTGCGGGAGGTACGGGGAGTTGTTGCTGGAGCGCGCTCTGCTTGGCGGCCTGCTGGCCCGCGACGGCTGCGGCCGAGCGCGGGTGGTCGGTTCTGCGCGAGTGAACGCGCTCGTGCGAGGCCATGCAGCTCTTCCACTTGAACTTCTTGCGGCAGTCCGGGCACTCGTACGGTTTCTCGCCCGTGTGCAAGCGCATGTGGGCCTTGAGGTTGGACTTGCGCGAGAAGGTCTTCTGGCAGCCGTCGACCTGACACGCGTGCATTTTGACGGCGGTCGGGGCCACCTTTGGCGCGCTCGGCGGCGGCGCGGGAGGCATGGCGGGCGCGGTTGAGGGGGTGATCTGGTAAGGACGGGGGGGAGGGGAGGTGAAAGTGATGATGGGAGGGTAGTCTCTCCCTGGAATGGCGGGTGCGGCATGACTATTTGAGGTGGGGTTTGCCTTCGCGACTTTTACTCGACCGCAGCAGAGTCGTTCGGTCCCTCCTCCCCTTTCTGGTAATGACGCAAATAGCTCTGAATTCAACGCAGAATACGACAAAATTAAATACACGTGGCGAGTGCTGTCCTAATAATTCATCAAAAGCTCCCTGCCCCATGATACATTTTACGTGCTCATGTCAGATCTGGTGCGGCATCATCACCATTACCTCGCATTGTCGCTCTGACCATCCCCACACCCAGGTCACCTGCTCGCTCACCACTAACAACCTTCCTCGAAACCCCCCTCCCCCTCCCCACCAAAAACAGAGTATCCCCCATCCACGTACGTCACATGGTCTGCACCCGAGACCGCCCCCTCGCCTTTATACCCACAGCCCCTTCACTCACATGTCTACGACCAGCCGCCTTCGCGGCACCACGGCACTCATCGTCGACGTGCTGTCCCAATTCCCGAGTCTCGAGAAGGACTAGAGTAGCCCCTTTACCGCGTCTATCCCGAATCCGTCAACGACCCCACCCGCGAAGTCCCTATAAACCCCCACACGCCTCCCTGCAATCCCTCGCCACCCGACTGCCCCGCCTCATCGACGCCTTAACCGCTCTCTTCCCAGTCTGGGTTGCCTCTGGCGCGCTCCTAGCCTACCTCCACCCCCCCGCTCTACTCTGGTTTTCCTCCTCATGCATAGTCCCCGTTCTCGCCCTCATCATGCTGGGCATGGGCCTGACCATCTCCCCCTCCGCCTTTCTGGCGATCGCCTCCACCCCCCGCCAAGTCTTCCTCGGCGCCATCGCGCAGTACGGCCTCATGCCGTTTCTTGCCCGCTTTCTCGCGGGCGCCTTCGCGCTTCCCTCCCCCCTCGCCGCCGGCCTCATCCTCGTCGGCGTGTGCCCGGGCGGCGCAGCCAGCAACTTGGTGTGCCTGATCGCCCAGGCCGACGTCGCGCTTTCCGTCGTCCTCACCCTCGTGTCCACTCTCCTCTCCGTCGCCCTCGTCCCGCTCCTCATGGAGCTCCTCGCCGGCACCCTCGTCCCCGTCTCCGCGTACGCCCTCTTCCTCAGCACGGCCCAAGTCGTCATCGCCCCGCTTGTCGCAGGCGCCGTTCTGAAGCGCTCCTTCCCGCGCGCAGTGGACAAAGTTGTCCGCGTGCTGCCGCTCGTGTCCGTCATTGGCGTCACCCTGATCTGCGGCGGCGTCGTCGCTGCCAGCGCGGGATTGCTAGCAGACGTCGGGCCACGCTTGGTCGGCGCTGTGGCGTGCATGCACGCGACGGGCGGGATCTTGGGGTACATAATTGCGCGCGTGTTTCGGTTGCCGGTGAAGAGCGCGAGAACGGTTAGCATTGAGGTGATGATGCAGAACTCGAGCTTGGCTGTATCGCTGGCGAATACCCATTTTGCGAATCCGCTCACAGCTCTACCAGGAGCTATCAGCGCGACTATGCATTCGGTTTTTGGGTCGTTTTTGGCGGGTGCTTGGAGGCTTATGGATCGATGGCAGGAGAAAAGGAAGGTAGAGGAGACGGGACGTCAACCTCCGTTACAGGAGGCAGATGCCTACCGGATTATCGAAGAGTAGAGGGGCAGACTTCACCGAGATTTAATTTGAACACGGAGCATCGAAGAAGCCATGTTGCTTGCCGACCAGGAACTGTCTCCTCTAAAAAATCGGTTCTCTAATTTGAACCCGTTCCAATCAGTGGTGCTTTCTTCGACCTTGCCGTTAAGGGTTATGTCATTGCGTTCGGTGCGGCGTGGTATTGTGGGACTGCTCTGTTGAAAAGTTGATGATCCTCAAACGATACGTGTCTCTCGGGTTTCCCTTGAGTTTATAGGTGCAGCCAAATGGCGAGCATAAGTAGGACCAGCTAATGTTACGGCTGAGGAATCTACCAGGGAGCACACCACTGTGATTCGAGAGGAGAGCAATGGATGCAGATGCCACGCGCCATGCGCGGCAGTCAAGCAACGCTTTTCCTGATTGGAGGCCATCATCTCCGTTTGCGCAAACTGAACCTCCCCCAGCCACAACGAGGAGAACAAGGAAGAGTCACCGTTCTCGTGTTGGGAATGCACAGAATAGGGTTTCGCCACGTCCTCCTCCGCATCGACGGTATCTGCCATTGAGGCGACCTCTCGCACTGCTGCTGCGAATTTTGGCGAAGAAGCGCATCATAGGCCTCGTAAATTTAACTGTCTTCATCATTCTGTCCTGGCAAACGGTGAGTATCATCAATATGGGAGGCGATGTCGATCTCCCTAGCAAAATTCTTGACTCTATGAGGATGGACGAGCTCCCGTACCCCTTGAATATCGTTGTACAAGTCCATCGCAAAAACATCACCCATGCGCCCTTTAAAGGAAAGTTTAATAATCCTGGCTATGCCAAAGTTCGGGAAGGCACCTTTCGGAACAAATACCCTTCCACGGAGATGCAAGGGATGGGTACTTTTGACAACATTTTTGTTATAACTAATGACCATTGCGAGGAGCAGTGGCAGGAATTTCAAAGAACAGCAAACAAAGTTCCCCTGCAATATAGTAGGTGGTTGCAGATGGGATTCAGGCATGTGTCTTTATCGGACCCGCCAATACCCCTTGCACCTGGAGCTATGATGGATAAGACGACTGGGAAGAAGCTCAGCAGTTCAAATCTACGGCGACAAATAGCTTATCTCGAAGCGCACCGTCATTTGTGGAAATACATTGTCGAAACCGGTAGGCAACGTGTATTAATTTTGGACGATACCGTCTTCCCAAACGACAGATTGCGTCGAAGCCTTCCATCAGTGCTCACAAACGTCGACCAGGAGTCTGTTGCAAGGCAAACAAAGTGGCACTTCATGTTTCTCAGACGGCAGAAGCGAGATATCACGCAAAAAGAACAGATGTGGACAATGAACTCTGTATTCAATCATGCTGTCGTGCATGCTAACGTTTCTTACGGCGTAGGGGCTTACGTCCTGTCTATTGACGGAGCGCGGTTCCTTGTTGATCACGTCAAGCACTACCGCGCACCTCTCGACGTTGAGATTGGATTGCTTCAGACTGAATTCCCGAACGATTTTGTGGCCCTAAGTGCGTGTAACAACGATTCACCAGTCCCTCTGTGTCCGGAAACAGTAAGTGACATCAGCACTTCGCGCACGAAGCGCTTGGCAGATTGTGCATGGCGCCGCCTGCAAGAGAAGCGAATAGCGAGCAAGTTTCAATCCTATTTTCAGTAAAACTGTAGTTGTGACCGCAGCCTGGCCTAAGTAATGTCTACGCAAGTACCGTGTTATTCTGGTAACACCCTTGCGTCGCGTTCAAGAGCCAGTTTTATTTGAAAGACTCCATGTCGTACACGTCTTGGAAAATACCTTTGTATTCGCTATCGGAATTGACGCCACCGCAGGCCCGTTACTTCTCTTAAACCTCTTAAAGGCTTAGGAGCTTGTATGGATACTGCTTTTCTGATGCTTTTTGCATACAGCCTGCGTTCTTGTGTCCATAAGTGCTTGTCAAGGCGGCCGGTGGCAACCAGTTCGTCAAATTGAGCCCCAGTCTGACATCCAAATATGCCATCTCTTCGCCTTGACTTCTTTTTGTTTCCAACGGTTGATGGATCCCTCCTACACCGATCCCGCCTTCTCGACCTAGCATCATATGGCTGATTTTCCTGCTGGCCCTGCACGTCCTGTGAAACCCTCAAAGTGCTCTTTAACCGCGGATCTCCATGAGGGCTGAGGAGATCCGCTCCTTGACCACGTCTGGTACTATCTACCCTGGAAACCGGACTTGAATTGCTGAAGCCTCTTCGGATCGTCTAGACCGAATCTTCCTGAGTGTACTGTTCCCCTCTCCGATAGATATTCCCTTTTGTGCCAATGAGTGCGACGAAAGCGGGGTACGTGATTTCATATCACTGGATGCAGGAGTCTTTGAAGCTGGTAAGTCCTGTTTCATCCCAATCGATAACTCAAACGCACGTTCTGAGCTCGACAAACAAGACGAAAAAGGAGCAGATTCTCTACTCGATCTCTTGACCAAGACCGAAGAATCACGTAGGAGTCGCTGAGATCTAGTACCCGCCGTCTGTTTCTGCGGGACACGGGAGCGCAGCTGTTCCGAATGCTCGCCAGAGTGTTGGCGCAAATCTAGCTCGCTTTGAGAACGGTTCAGATTTCCAATAACCTCTGTTGTCGGGACATAACCACTTAGCCCAGGGCTTCCGCTTGATATCTTTGCATGAATAGCGTCATTCGCGTTGTTCTCCTGCTGGTCACTTTCAGAGGTCTCTTTGCCCTTGGCGCCTGGGGTATTGTCTGTACAAGCTGGTAGATTTGTTCTGCCGGAGAGAAGGTGACCTCGAGGTTGGGAGCAGGAATCAGTACCTTGGCTTGATGATGGTATCGGTAACAGCTCGAGTTTTTGCCGTTGAGGCCAGAGTGTCTCATTCTTTGATTCAAGATCTCTCTGAGTATTGCATGATGCTTTCAAGGATTTCTGGTGCCTGATGTCCGTTTCGAGAGACGGCGAGGGCGCATTTGCAAAGGACGTTTTATGAAGGGGTGATGAATGAGAAAAATCGAGTGCCCTGCTGCTTGGCATTTCCGGCGATGTGGCAGGAGCACGAATTGCATCAAAGGCAAGCGCAATTAAATCACAAGGTCTGTCCAAGGTGCTGAGAAGCCCGTCCCGCAAGGGAAACCCATCGCGATGTCGGAATGCTTCTGAGGAGCGGTGGTCGCGGTGGGGTGGGCTGATCAGCTTGTTGACCGCACGCTTTTCATGACAATAGGACATCTCTCCGTAGAACGTACCGGGAACATGTGGGGCAAAGGGGAGCGACTTTAGAGTTACCTCCCGTCCTCACCGACTGGCGTGACAGTGAGGCAGTTGAGAGGGTTCGGAGGTCCGTATTTAAGAGGAATATGGTCGCAGTCTTTGGTGACTCGGAAAGAAGTCTTTGAGTTTGCTTTGTTACGTAGCCTGCAGACGGCTTACTAAGAGCGTATGCTTGTGGAAAGGGAATGCCTCTCTCCCCAAACAGAAATATGCGTGATAAGGCCTCTGTGGTTTCGGCAACAAAGGCGTCATAGGGTTTCTGTACCTTTCGAAGGGTACAGTATGTGACGGATCAAAGGCTAGACTTTTTTAATTTAATCTTCTTCTTTAATTTCTGAAGAAAACTCCTACTCGATGCCAAATGACCCAGCCCTCGCCCATCGGCGTAGCTCCGAAGTTCGGAGTGTCGTTCGGAGTCCGAACGACACTAACCACAACGCTCTCAGCCGTTTCCCTCCGAGGGCGCCCCCGCAGAGTACAGGTTGTTATGTACTAGGTGGCACACTGCTTTTTATCCATCTTAAGTGCTCTCCAGGGAGCCAGTCGAAGGACCTGCCATCATTTCCCAATTTGTGGCAGAATGGCTCCGTATTCCAACCGTGGAAGCGACAGCCACCGAGGGAGCGGGGGGTACGGGCGCGGTGGTCGAGGGAGAGGGCGAGGGGCATACTACGCGAACAAGTACGGTCGCGGTCGCGGTCGTGGGGGCGGCGGACAGAGTGACAATGGTCCCGGACAGGGTGGCGGCTCTCGGCGAGATCCTCAACAATTTCAGTCGCAAGGTGGGCGTGAGGAGCTTGCACAATTGCTCCACCAAATGAGTGGAGGTTCGTATCCGAGGTACAAAGACTTAATTGGAAAATGGGGCTTGATGGATGCCACAACCCTATTTTTTGATCGCATTCAATCCGATCCATACGCCCCTCCAAGCCGTGCACGTTTGCGTGTTGAACTATCTTCCTCAGGATTTGACACTGATTTATACTCTTCGCGAATCCGTCAGACTGCATTCTGCGACTTCCTAACTCGAAAGTTTTGGCGCGTCACTCATGACGCACACATGGACCGCACAACCGGCGGTGGAGGTTGGAGCGGCCCGAAAGGCGGGAATTTAAACATCGACAAGCCTAGCCAGCATGTACTTGAGCGTACATCATGTCTGATTGTCGATGATTGCTTTATCGAAATGCGCTTTACAGTCAACCTTCCGGCAAGGGGAAGAACTATTCAGGGTCAGGAAGCAGCTTCAATATTGACCGAACGGCTACCAAATGTTGTTGCAGAAGTGTTGTTTGCACAAAGCGAAGATTCACAGAAACTTCTTCAACATGTGACTTCTATCGAAGATCAGGAATTCACCCGAAACGTTTCGTTGGGAGAACACGGTTTAGTAGCGTTTGTGTGCAATGGAGCTGTTCTCCCGAGAAGTTCTGGAGCGGATGACGAACCTATGGACGAGTCTGCAGCAGTTCCATTTGAATCACCTGAGAGCTTGTTCTGTGAAATTGAGCTCCCTAGTGGAAAAAAAGTGCAAGGTATGGGCATCAAGCCAGGAATATCTCTCATTGTAGGGGGTGGTTTCCATGGCAAATCGACGCTACTGGCAGCTCTTGAAGTGGGAATTTACAACCATATTCCAGGAGATGGCCGAGAGTTTGTTTGTTTGAATAAAACCGGAGTTTCTATTCGGGCAGAAGATGGGCGGAGTATAACTGGAGTCAATATTTCCCCATTTATAAATAATCTTCCGTTTGGGAAAAAGACAACTTCCTTTTGTACACCGGATGCATCGGGTTCTACTTCTCAAGCAGCAAATATCATAGAAGCGCTTGAAGCAGGTGCAAAGGTCCTGCTGACGGATGAGGATTTGGCTGCGACAAATTTTATGATGCGAGACCAGAGAATGCAGCAGTTGGTCCCATCGTCCAAGGAACCCATTACTCCCATGATTCAAAGGATTCGATCCCTTTACGAGGAAGAAGGGGTGAGTTCTATTTTGGTCATCGGAGGTGCAGGTGACTACTTTGAAGTGAGTGATCTAGTCGTGATGATGGATTGCTACAAACCCAGAGATGTAACAAACGAGGCGAAGTCCATTGCATCAAGCTTTCCATCCGGTCTCAAGCTTTCCGATTCCCCATCAGACATCTTTAAAACGAACAAGAAGCGTCTCATTGCTTCTGATTCGGTACAGAGAATAGCCAAGAGCGGCCGTGGAAAAATATCAGTGAGGGTCAAGGGCACAATTGAATTTGGCAGTACAGAAATCGATTTGTCTGCAATGTCCCAGATCGTGGAAACCAGTCAAACCAGAGCCATTGCAGTTGCTCTAGAGAGTATTGCAGGTATGTCCGTTCTCGATCGAGACGGAATCGGGGCGTGTGTGAGAAAGCTTATGAGCGAAGTCGACGCAACAAATCTTGATGCGATGAACTCGAGAGGAGAGAGACAGGGGAACTACGCACGGCCTCGAGCAATTGAAATACACGGCGCATTGAGCAGACTTCGTGGTGTTGATCTTAGTCGGTAAGGCTAAAACAATGAATACATCACTAACTTAGTGTTATTGCGTCGAAAATTTTCGGTCTCAGTTGAGGCAAAACGTCGGTCGCTTCTCTAAACACTGTAGATGGCAGACTACTTACACAACAGAGCACCCATTGTGTCATGAGAATTTGCATTGCCCCATCTTTTGGCTATCGTAGCAAGCTGTACTTGTTCCAGCTAATTGTGCACACAGCCCTTCTCTGATTATACTTCGACTATAAAACCGAACTCACCACTTTCCTTCTAATTGCCTCAGCCTCTCTTTTCACTTCCTATAAAAAGAATTGTGTTTATCTCACTTCCTATAAAAAGAATTGTGTTTATCCACCAGATATCGTGAATATTCGAATGCTTCGGGGCCTTCCTGGAACGTCGACTCGGTCACAGAGCCCAGAAAAATATCTTGCTTCGTTTGCTTCTGATTTTCATACAATTTGTCAATCGTTTTAATCACCAAAGGGAAAATTGAAGTCTTCTACTCATCCATGAATGATGGGCGTTTATGTCCCGTAGGGCGACCCTCAGTCCAAGTAGAAAAGCCAGTGAGCGCTCCAAGAACAGTCTGTAGAAGATCGTGATTTCGCCGCCTTTTACTTACTGGACGAAACGGTAATGCAATTCGCAATTCGTCCAAACAATACTTCCTTATAATAATTGGTATTTAATTCTTCTGATAGAAAATTCCTCTTCTAAGCACAGCTGCGGTTTTTGTAGTTCAGTAATTGAAAGGGAACACTATACCCAGACGAGATTTTCCTGATGGCAACATGCTCATGAGAATTGTCTAAACGAATACTCTGCCGCGGCGGGAGATGATGATTCGTTCACATCTGCTCATGTAGAGGTCAAGGATAAAATCTCATCTCTTGTTCCCCGGTGCAGGGTTTGGAGAAAAAGTATGCGGGAAGAGGTACAGTACACGTGTAGTGGTATTCGGGAGTATCCTCAATGTGAGTGCCGTTGTAGACAGTGTTCTCGGCGCTGCCAACAGAGGCTGTTTTTTTTTAAAACAACGCATGCCTGATCGTGTTGGTGTGCGGCTGTGAAGTCCCTATCCGTGCCTGATGACACGTGTCCACTCATCATTGAAGTTGGTACTTTTCTATCCATGCTGGCGTTTGTAAGAGGCGGCGTTTTCATTGGTTGCGGATTTGTAAGATCGCGTCACGTTAATGCAGCAATGCACCTCAAGACGTGAGCCTTTGAACACTGAAGTCAGTGTGTCAAGAAGGGGATTGGGGAGTCATTGCTGGATGCATCCAAGCATGAAATATAGTAATAAATCCACATACTCCCATTTTCTTTCCATGTCGCCCAGTTTCGACAATAATTGTTGTGTTGTTGTAAGTTCCGACTCCAGCTGTTGGGCTACAAAAACCCTCTCTTCTTTTTGCCCACATCGACACCTTCCCTACATCCACCTTTTTCACCCAGAACTCCGCCTCCGCATCGCTTCGATTTTTAACGCCCTCTTCCTCTCCCACTTCTCTGCAGTAACAAGCTTTCCTTTCCAATTCCCCGCTTCGTCTACGTCCCATCTCTCTAACACAAAATATGGGTTGGGGACGCAAGAAAGAAGCGCCGGCGCCAGTCCCACCACCGCCGCCGCAGGCCAACCCGGCGCAAAGCGCTCGAGAAATGCAACGTCAGAGTGATCGCACCATCGCCCGCGCCCAACGCGACATGCAGCGAGAGCGTATCCGTCTTGAGGGCGAGGAGAAGAAGATCATGAGCGAAATCAAATCACTTGGTCGACAGAATCGCATGGTAGAAGCTCGCATGCTCGCCAAGAACTTAGTACAGGTCCGTACTGCCAAAGCGCGTACTTTTCAAGCCGGTATTCAGGCTGGGGCTATCGGTACACAGGCTCGCATGGCGCAGGCTGATGCCAAGATGATGAACGTCATGGGCACCACCGTCGGGGTAATGCAGAATGCAAATAATATGGCAAACCCAGAGCAGAACATGCAGATGTTGCAAGAGTTTGATATGCAATCAGAAAAGTACAAACTCAACCAGGAAATGACGGATGAGGTCTTGGACTCCGTTCTTGGTGGCGCTGAGGTTGATGGTGAGACTGATGATGTGCTGAATTCAGTCCTGGATGAGATTGGAATGGAAGTTGGTAGTCAGATGGGCGCCACGCCTAGTATCCAACCCACGAAACTTCCTGAACAGCAGAGATTGCAGGCTGCAGATGACGCGGATCTCATGAACCGAATTGCTAGACTGGGTGGCGGCCCGGCAATGTAACAGTTTTTGGAGAAATTGGGAGAGAGGACCGCAGCCCCATCACTCGCCTTCATTGCTATGCAGCTATCCTTACTACATCGCATTTGCATTCAGAACCCGGAGGGATTTTTTTTTTTTGGACGCCAATTGTGAACGCCATATCAGCACAAACCCCTTATGGTCTACATGAATGCACAACGCATCGCTCAGAACGGAGTGTTCTGTTGTAAGCATTCGAATAACGCCAGGAGTGACAACCGTTTATGATTAAGGAGGCCATGAACAACGACGTTTCCGGGCCCTCAGTGTGTATCCTCAAGATACGGGCCATTTCCAACGTTTTGGCACTCTGTTAGCCAAGTCAAACGTTATGTAAAGAATCACCTAGACGAAGCCTTTTGCTTGTTGAAACCTGTTGTCTGTCTGAAGAAAGATAGGTGTGATGCGGTATCACAGTGATCTTAATCACTGTAGTACAGAGCAACTTGTGCTTGCGAGATTCCCCAGTGCTTGAACTCTAAAGCAGTTTGTCTACGGTACTTACGATGTTACTTTGTGAAAGCAGCCAGGAAGACCGTCGGTCGCATGGTAATAGTCACTCCTTCTCTTCTCTATCCTTCGGAGGACTACGATACAAGGAGGCATGCTGTATTGTTCGAGATGGAGATAAGCAAGAAGAATTGCTTGGAGAACTTCAAGTCTTACACACTTCAAGTCACGAGATGACCACACGTACATGTCGCAAAATGTACCGGGGTGCACGGGCTCAGTGTCTGAGCCCATGCAGCCCGGTGGGTCACAAACGTAGCAACGTGGCCTAGGATACTCTAAAGAGATATAATAATCATGATCTTCTCAGCAGTAGAAAGAGAACTGGAAAAACTACAGAAAAGGACAGAATACAACAGGATTCGAGGATTCAATTCTTTAAGTCATGCATCCTTCCTACTATACAGTTGTCATTTGCACACACTATCATGTACACTATGCATATTTAGCGGATAGATATTCTTCTCACGTGGATTGCCTGCAACGTCACCTGCGCACCTAGGAGTAGCGACGAAAACGCCCGTGCATCAGGGAGAAAGTACAGTGCCAGGAATGCATCCTATCGCAAGTAGGCACAAGATGGGACTAAACCGGAGGCCTGTTGAACCCATTCGGATAAACGTGGGAAGCAAAATGAGTACAGTACAATAGTTTGACGGGGAGCAATTTAACAGGGCATGTACAAAGGTTGGGTTGGGCTTCCAGGCTCGTGAGGACAGACAGATAATTGTCGAGAGTCAGAGCAGAGCGCAAATGGTTTTAGTCACTAAGCAGTCACCATCTTGTGGTGCAGGACACTGCTCTCGCCTCCTAGCTTAAATATCCACATTGCGAACACGTTGTATCAGCTTTCTTGATAATGCGAACATACAAAGTGCGTCATGTGGTTTAGTGAGGTTGTCATTGTTGGAATATATATCATGCCTGTTGGAAGCGTAGTAAAAACGGCTATTCATGACCTACCGGACAATGCAGCAGTCTTGGACAAGAACGGAGATAGGATACGACACTTTGTTCGCACCGCTCAAAGCGTAAGTGAAGAGCGGAGAATATGGTTTCAGCAGAATGGAAGGAGGGTGCGATAGGATTAATGTAGGGGCGGGGCGCTACGGGCTGTGACAGCGTCGGCGTAATGGCGCGGACTTCGCTTGAGGGCGAGTGGAATTGTTTATGCGTGCGAAAACCCTCGGTCGTCTAACTACTGTACGTACAGTATACGCAAGCTCAACGGTTTGGAAGCAAAGTTTTTTATTCGGTGTGTCTCTGCTGTTCTTCAGAGGATGCTGTAGGAAGTTCGCGAAAGCGGCGGCCTCTCTAGTCCGCTCTACCATGGGAGAGCGGACTGTGAGGGCAGCCCTGATGTCGGTTGAGACGACGCCCATCAATATTGGTGGTCGATGCCGTCCGTGGAAACTTTTCAAAGGCCGCCCTCATTGCTTAGGCCCGCTCCCGCCCGCCTCCCAAAATCAGCCAATCCGCATGCACTGCCACAGTAGCTGACCTCTGGTTTGGGTCAAATCGCGCCAACTCTGCATGGCCATCTTCCCATCCAGAATGTTACGTTGCAATTTCCCGCCAAATCGCTCCTCCCACCAAAACCCCGTGCACCCCGTCCTGCCTATAAAGCCAAGCACTACCTTCTTACCGTGCCCTCGCATCCCACTGCCGCAGCCCCCCCACCCCTCCATACACTTTCCAATCCTGTTCCAGCCCCCATCACAAACTCGCCATGGAGCGCTCTGTCATCAAGCGCGATGGCCGCCGCCAGCCGGTAAAGTTCGACAAGATCACGGCCCGCATCAAGAAGCTGGCATACGGCCTGGACCCTATCGTCGATGTCACCGAGGTCGCCATGAAGGTCTGCACGGGCGTGTACGACGGTGTCACCACGTCCGAGTTGGATGACCTCGCCGCGGAGACCGCAGCGTACATGTCCACTAAACACCACGACTACTCGCTCCTGGCATCTCGCATCGCCGTGTCTAACCTCCATAAGAACACCGTCAAGTCCTTCTCCGAGACTGCTGACAGGCTCTGCAATTACAGGCTCCCCGTCACTGACGCCCCGGCCCCGCTTGTCGCGGCGGACGTCCATGAGTTTGTCATGAAGAATCGTGATACTTTGGATGCTGCCATTATCTACGACAGGGATTTTTCGTATGACTACTTTGGATTTAAGACTTTGGAGCGCTCGTATCTGCTCCGCATCAACGGAAAGATTGTGGAGAGGCCCCAGCATATGCTCATGCGTGTGGCAGTCGGCATTCACCTCGGCGATATGGAAGCCATCCTGGGCACATATGATGCCCTGTCCAACAAGCTCTTCACCCATGCCTCGCCAACGCTATTCAATGCAGGCACCTGCCGCCCCCAGCTATCCTCTTGCTTCCTTCTCACTATGACTGAGGACTCCATTGAAGGCATTTATGACACTCTCAAGCGCTGCGCTATCATTTCCAAGGCCGCAGGCGGCATTGGATTGTCTATCCACAACATCCGATGCACAAAGTCGTACATCCGTGGTACCAACGGTACGTCGAACGGAATTGTGCCTATGCTTCGTGTCTTCAATGACACAGCTAGGTATGTGGACCAAGGTGGCGGGAAGCGGAAGGGTGCATTTGCTATCTATTTGGAGCCTTGGCACGCAGATATCCTCGACTTTCTTGATCTTCGCAAGAATCATGGCAAGGAAGAACAGAGGGCTCGTGACCTCTTCTACGGCCTATGGATCCCAGACCTCTTTATGAAGCGCGTCGAAGCTGATGGCCAGTGGTCGCTTTTCTGTCCGAATGAGTCCCCTGGTCTGGCCGACGTCTATGGCACTGAATTTGAAGAGCTGTACGAAAAGTACGAGAAGGACGGCCGAGCACGCAGTTCCATGAGCGCGAGAAAGATCTGGTATGCTATTCTCGAAGCCCAGATTGAAACTGGAAATCCGTACATGCTCTACAAGGATGCTTGTAACCGGAAGAGCAACCAGCAAAACCTCGGAACCATCAAATCTTCCAATCTTTGCACAGAGATTGTTGAGTATACTGCCCCGGATGAGGTTGCTGTTTGCAACTTGGCTTCTATTGCCCTCAACAAGTTTGTAATTGTTCCGGAAGATGGTTCCACTCCGTCATATGATCACGAAGCCCTTCGCCGTGTGACGAAGATGGTTGCGCGCAATCTTAACAAAGTAATCGACGTCAACTTCTATCCTATCCAGGAAGCTAAGAATTCCAACATGCGCCACCGCCCAATTGGTATCGGAATTCAGGGGCTTGCAGACACATTTATTCTCATGCGCATGCCGTTTGAGAGTGAGGGAGCTCGTGAGTTGAATAAGGATATTTTCGAAACCCTCTACTTCAGCGCTGTAGAGACCAGTTGTGAACTGTCTTCAGAGCAGGGTCCTTACGAGACGTACATTGGTTCCCCGATGTCAAAGGGTCAGTTCCAGTTTGACCTTTGGGGCGTGAAGCCCACTTCTGGCCGATGGGACTGGGATGGCCTTCGGGAGAAGGTTCTAAAGAGTGGTGTCCGCAATTCACTGCTCGTTGCTCCAATGCCTACCGCTTCAACATCGCAGATTCTCGGTAACAATGAGTGCTTCGAGCCTTACACATCTAATCTGTACACACGAAGGGTGTTGTCTGGTGAGTTCTGCATTGTGAACACTCACCTGGTAAAGGATCTTCAAAAGCTTGGGCTGTGGGATTCTACCATGAAGAACCGCATAGTTGCAGCGAATGGTTCTGTTCAAAACATCCCCGAAATTCCTGCAGATATCCGCGCCCTCTACAAGACTGTCTGGGAAATCAGCCAGAAGCGTATTCTTGATCTCGCCGCTGACCGGGGTGCCTACATCGATCAGTCGCAGAGCATGAACATTCACATGGCAGCCCCGAACATTGGAAAGCTCAGCTCCATGCATTTCTATGGCTGGAAGGCAGGACTGAAGACAGGACTGTACTATTTGAGAACCAAACCGTCGACAGATGCCATCAAGTTTACTTTGTCACCTGCTGAGATTGAGGCTTCCAAGAAATCCGAAACTGGTGTGTCTTCCGGAAATGCTGCCCCAGTTGCTTCGGTCGAGGAGGTGCTTGCTTGCTCGATAAATAACCCGGACGGATGTGTGAGCTGCGGAAGTTGAAGACCGTGGTGACCTGGTTGTTTGACTAACTCATACGACATGTGGCTCATCCCGATATTTTTCACGTGGGGCGTCCCTACGGTTTTGTACAGTTTAGTTTCTTTAAAGGTAGTGAGTCCTGTTCCACTCGTAAAAGAGTCGTAAAGTTTGTCGTCGTGCCACTATGTTGGGGAGAAGAAGGGTACCCGCAGATACGGCCTGTGACATCTCGGTTGCCGCCACGTCGTATCCCCGAAGAGAAAGAACTTCAGAAAACGTCGTTCTAACTTTTACCAAACAACTGTTCCAAATTGTCAATCCCACCCGACGGAGTTTCCGGCGTCCCTTCCGGCTCCTTGGGTTGATCGTCCGGCCCCTCCCCCTTGTCCTTCCCCCCATCCTTCTTCCCCTCGTCCTCCTCATCTTCATCCTTCCTAACTGCCCTAGGATCAATGAAAGTACCGGTAAGCTCGATCTCCTCTTCCATATCCTTTTTCTCTTGCTCCTGAATCCACTTCTCCCACAGCACGCCCCCCTTATACACTACAAAAATGCCCAGGACACTGGCCAAGCCCGCCCACATCCTTTGCAGATCGCGGAACCACTGCGTGGCGACCTCATACTCCTCCAGCTCCATGATCTCCTGCTCGGCCTCCGAATACTGTGTCGTCTTCCGGCGGCGCAGCTCGCGATCGCTCACGTAGTCATCCCTCTTGATCCCCAGCGCGCGCAGCGGTATCGGGCCCGTCGCTACGTTGCCGAGGGACTTGGCCGTCGCCGCGTGCGTCTCTCGCACAGGCGTGAACGGCATGTCGCGCGACGGGAGGCCCAGCACCGAACCGGTCAGACTGCCGGCGGCTAGGGCCGCGGCGCGGAACCATTTCAAGCGGTGCGGCCGCGGGCGGTTCGCGCTCATGTGAGGGATTGATGGGGCTGCGGATCTTCGCGCGGGGGAGGGGAGGGCGGTCGACTGCCTCGGTAACAGGCGCGCTCCTGGCGGGACCAGAAAGGCGGGGACGGCCATTGCGGATTCGGGACCCAGGGCACAGAGAGCGTGAGGGGGTGCGCCGCTGCTGAAGATCGGAGAAGGCGGGCAAGGTCTGGGTCGGGATGGTGGGGGAAGTGCGAAAATGGGGTCAGAGTTGTTTTCCATGAGTTCGTTCTGCGAAGATGGATCGAGAGTGGTGTCTGAAGCATGGGGCGGATGCCAAAATGGGTGTGAGACTGGCAGCTCAACCGTGCCGTTGAGTGAGATTGGGTTTCTGTTGAAAATTTAATGAAAAAAGGGCATGCGTTGTACAACTGCAATGCGTAATTGAGACCTCACGGCTGTACACGTGTAAGCTACAGCAGATGGGCGAGATCAATTGATCCCCCAGAGTGCGTGCGCACACGTGGATCGCCATTCCTGCATCCGATGCTCCTGCCTTCCTCTTCGACCCCCCTTCTCTTCCCGAACTTCACATTCCCTCAACAACCGCAAAAATGCCCACGCAAAAACCGCTAGCGCCGCTGCCTCCGGTCCTCTGCTCGGACTTGCCCGGCACGTGGGCCTACGACACCATGTCGCGCCGAGTCCGCGAGGACATTCTCGCCCGCGTCTTCCGCGAGAACGATTTCCACCCCGATATCATACACCGCCTGAAGGGGCTGGACGCCGAGCTCGCCGCCGCAGCATCAGTCCCTCTCACCCCAATTCCGGAGGATGGAGGGCCGGACGTGCACACCTGGAACCAACAGATTTTGCGCAATGTCATCCAGAGTGGGGACACCTGGCTCTCCGCGCCCTGGGCTATTGCAGAGTTCTATTTGTATGCTATCGCTTTGCGGAATAACCCTCAGGAAGAGCTCTTTTCTGGCCCCTAACAGTTTCATTTTTGTTCTTGACGTCGCTCGAAAATGCTCAGGTATCGCAGAATGATGTCCGCGCTCAACTACTTCCAATCCCCGGTCGATCCTTTTATCCTCCAGAAGGAGCTGGGCCTCTCCAGCGCGATAGATTCTATTTCCACATTAGCCTGCCGCGTCAACGCTGTCCTCAAAGCGGAAGAGAACCGCTCGCGCCACGAATTACTCAACGACTTTCAAGGCTTCGTCCTCACTGCTTTGTGGGGCAACCGCATGGACTTGAGTCTTTGGCCTGTCGGCGGCGAAGGTACTGGCAACATCATGGGAAATGATCCAAAAAAGTCCAGCGGGGAGCGCGCATCGGAAAACTTTGCTCTTGTCCTTGAAGCCGGGCAAAAGATGATTCTGGCAAACGATGTCGCCAGGTTGTCCAGTTTTGTCGACCGCATGCCGAACGCACCTCGCATGGATATCATCGTCGACAATGCCGGGTTCGAACTTTTCTGTGACCTTTGCCTCGCAGATTTTTTGATACATTCAGGCTTCGCGTCCGTCGTGCACTTGCAACTAAAAGCTCATCCCACTTTTGTAAGCGACGCTATGGCCAAAGACGTCATGTACACTATAGAGTTCCTGCAAAGACGATCTAACGCAAAAGGGGAAGACGTCGCTGCAGTGGTGGCACTCGGAAACCGGTGGGCCCAACATGTAGCTGACGGCACTTGGGTTTTGACTGAAAACTTCTTTTGGGTACAACCGCAGGCTATGTGGGAGATGCCTGCCGACTTGCGAAGCGATATGTCCAGCTCACAACTTGTCTTTGTGAAGGGAGATGCCAACTACAGGCGACTCCTGGGAGACCGCGACTGGAAGCTTGATACCCCCTTCTCGGATATTTTGTCCTACTTTCCAGCACCAGTATGTGCTCTTCGAACCCTGAAAGCCGAATTAGGGTGTGGAATGCCTCAAGAAAGCGTTGATCGAGCCTCATCGGAGGATTCAAAGTGGCTTGTGTGTGGAAAGTACGGAGTCGTACAGTTCTGCAACCCGACAGAGTTGTAAATCACCGTCTCAACGCCGACATGGGAAGGGAACAGTCTCCCCCGAAGGGAAATCCGTCAGTTGCTCTTTTCTCCGTTATCTGAAGATGCCATCGCACTGGGCATGGCTATCCTAACCCCGCTCACGATGTATCCACCAGTGGCGCTATCCGTCATAGCAGGGTGAGATCGACCGGGAAGAACCTGGTGATTGACTAGAGAGACTTCCAGTAACTCCACCCGCATGGCCATTTTTGATAGCTGAAGGGCATACTGCAGATCTGCCGCATCCTGCAAATGCATACAATACGCGGCAAAGCATCCAGATGGTGCCAAATGCTTTAGTAGAACATCAAATACTTGCACAACATCGAAGCGAGTTGCAACAATGAGGCAATCACAACCATCACGAATCCATGACTTGACATCCCCTCGTTTCGCACGCATCGCAATCGCTTCAGCTCGCCGTGCGCTTGGAACATGCTTCGTTCCCGTTTTTTCTGTAATTGCGTCCTCAACTGTGACGTATCGTAGAGGATCGTTATCTTCTGATTGTGAGACGTCCACCATGCCCAGCAACTCTATTGGAGTGTGCACAATGGCTTTTGTGTGAAGGCTGTCCAGGTTGAGCATTCGAATCACTTCAGTGCCAGGCGGAGTGGTCCCCGAGAAAATGTTAATAACCTTTCCAACACCATCTATTCTTTCAGCCACTGCCGCAGTCACCAAACCGGTGCAATTTTCGTAAACAAGAGCTCGGCATCCAGACCTTACACCGGCGTATCCAAGCAAAATCGCAAGCCCGTCTGGGCGAAGGTGCATCGTCTTTTCCGGAGACCTCTCAAAGTACGTTTCACATAATGTTAACGCCGTAGGTCGCAAAACCCTGACCTTTAAGTCAAACTTCGCCCGTTTCCGCTTGATATACTTTTCCTGGGAGAAGGCCGTCTTTCCGCGGAATGTCAGTGAGTTTTCGACAACCGTGCGAACAAGTTGTTCCCCTTCAATTCCTTGCTCCTTCATGGCAAGTATTGTGCTTTGCTCCAGCTTCTGGTTCTCGTTAGTGTCTTCAAGATACTGGTTGTTTCGTTCAGTCCCCATTTCTGTTTCCGCTGTCACGTTAAAAGATTGCTCCTCTTCGACAGGTTCCAAGCGATCGCCTGAGCGAACGGCGAACAAATCTCCCCATCTCGCACCAAGCAGCGCACCGATTTTTCGTTTTCGCTTCCCAATTCTTGCCGAAGAGTTTCTGCTCACGTGCCCGAGGACCTTCTTTCCATCAGTCGCCGAAAGCACGACCCAGTTGTCCTCTTGGATTTGTTCATCAGGACTCATTGTTTGTGCAAACTGTAAACGCAGGTCACTGCCTTGCAATGGATTGGCCGAGCAACCTTACCAAGTCAGCGAGGTCAAGCAAAAAAATCTGCAATTATCATCCCGTAAACCTTATTGAGAGCCTACTCGTGCTTCTCAGTCTCTCACGTTCCTTAGTTCTCTCCCCAAGCCTGCGGCGACTAGGTTTGTGCTTCTGGACGAAGACGTCTTAATTGCGCATTCGTGGGAGCGCCGTCGAGTGTCTGAACCGATGGAGCGATGCGCCGTGTAGCCACTCAGCAAAATATAATGTATATAATTATTTTTTTGAAACTTTTTGAGACGTATGATTCTTCTCCAAATCGGTGCTTAGCCTCTGTTCCTTCCGGCGGCGGTGGCGTAAAAACCGGGCAATTTCGTCTTCTCTAAGGAAAAGCCCCGGAGCTGACGGCAGGGGAATCGAGAGTTTCCGTCACGCTACTGCCTTCTAGAGGCAAAAAAGAATGTCGAGGTTGATAATCAAAGGTTTGCCAAGCCGGTACGATGACAAGAACTTGAGGCAACTGTTCTCTTTCGCCGGGGAAGTCACGGACGCGAAAGTTATCAAAACGAAAGATGGTCGGTCTCGCCAGTTTGGTTTCATCGGCTTTCGAAACGGACAGGAAGCAAAGAAAGCGCGCCATCAACTGAACAATTCTTATGTTGATACACAGCGGGTCTCAGTGGACTTCGCGCATGCTGTGGGCGCAAACACCATCCCCAGACCGTGGTCCAAATATTCAGAGGGGAGCAGTCTGCATAAAAAGAACAATGCAGACGATGATGTCAGTATCCGAAAAGCATTTCTTAAGAAAGAGGCAGAGAGGAACAGGCGCATTCGGGAGCTCAAAGCGAAGCAGAGGGAGGACGGGGTAAAAGACGGAGACATCGCTGCATTGCGCGAGTTTCAAGAATCAGCGGGGAAGCGAGGATCAAACCCGTTGTGGGCAGATGGAGGAATTCGCGCGTTGGAGAAAAGCACACTCGTCGCTTCTAGGAAAACGGGCGGAGAAGGAACATTTTTGGAAAGAAAGCATGTGAAGTTTGATGTGCCAGACAGCGACGACGAGGATGACGGATTATACGAGGATCTTCCAGACTCTTCCGCTTTAAATGAAGAAAAAGCAGACGGAGACGGAGATGCCACGGAAAAGGGAGATGGTTTAGCTCTGGATGAGGGCATTTCAGACATGGATTACTTCAAATCTAAAGTTGTGGCACAAAACGAGGGCGAGGATAAGGCTTCGGAATCGCAAAAGAGTGTCAGCGTCGAAGCTGCAGACACCGAACTTCAAGAACACAATGAGAACCGAGCACCTGAAACGTCACAAGAATCTGATGAAAGCGATGAGGAACAACAGGCTGGTAAAAGTAGCGAAAATGCTGCAGAGAAGAGGACTCAAAATGCGAATGAAAATCGTTTGGAATCGAAATTTCCATCGCGTGACGGCAATGCGGAGCGTAAGGCTGATGCGTCTGAGACCGGGCGCTTACTCGTTCGAAACCTGGCATACTCAATGACTGATGAAGAACTTGAGATGCTGTTTGAGCCATTTGGGACTCTGGCAGATGTTCATGTAGTAAGAGATAGACAGTCCGGCAAGTCACGAGGCATGGCATTCGTGCAGTATGTGACAGCCGAGAATGCCCCTCAAGCACTTTTGTCTGTTGATGGGACATTTCACAGTGGCCGCATACTGCATGTGCTTCCAGCACAGCCTCGCCCGGCGCTCTTGGATAACTACTCCGCAACCAGCGGTACCACAAAAGCAGGGAATAGCAAATTTAAAGAGGGCAGAGAGGAATCATTGAAAGACTCTGCGCGGAAAGGATTGGATGCTCACGCTCAACATGCGCTACATTTGTCTTCTGACGCCGTTGCTCAGGTCATGGCAGATCGGCATTCGGTTTCGAAAGCTGACCTTTTCGGTACAAGTCGCGGTGAGTCTGGTGTAGCTGCGGTTAGACTTGCAATGGCAGAAGCAACTGTACAAGGGGAGACTAAGCAGTTTCTGCTGGAGAATGGAGTTAACCTAGGTTTATTACAACAAATGAACGAGGATCTGCATGCCACAACAGCAGCTGCTAGAAGAAAGAGACAGTCAAGGACAGCCTTTTTGGTGAAGAATTTACCGGCTAGAACACATGAAAGGCAGCTCGAGGGTACGTTCAGTCGTTTTGGAAAGCTGAAACGTCTTGTCGTTGTGCCATCCGGGACTCTTGCTGTTGTCGAGTACGGCATTTCGTCAAACGCCAAAAAAGCGTATAACTCCCTTGCTTACACAAAATTCCAGGATGCGCCTCTCTACTTGGAATGGCTTCCCGCGCAGGCACTGACGCCAGTTCACGACGACAACAAACTGGACAAATCGTCGACTCTCGCTGAAAATGAGCCCGAAAACAAGGACCCCACAAGCGTTGCTGAAGGTGTGTCGACAACTCCTGAGAATGTAGAAGCCAAAACCGGCAGCGTGTATGTGAAAAACCTGAATTTCGAAACTCGCGATGCCGCGCTTAAGGAGCACTTTCAAAAGGTGCTGCGGAAACGCCCGAAAGTTGTGGCAAGTTTGCGATCGGCTACTGTGGCTCTGCGGCGAAAGAACGAGGGAAAAGCCTCAGAACGTCTTTCAATGGGTTTCGGGTTTCTGGAATTTTCGTCGAGAGCGCATGCAATAGAAGCCGTGAAGAATGCTCAGAATACCACTCTTGACGGTCATACACTGCAATTACGGCTCTCAAACAAGGATGATGAAGATCGAAGTCAAGGAGCTAAGCGAAAACGGGTTTCATCGAAGGGCAAGAAGCCAGGGCCCAAGCTGATCGTAAGAAATGTCGCCTTTGAAGCAACAAGAAGCGATATTCGACAGCTATTCTCTGCGTTTGGTCAACTGAAGACGGTTCGAATACCCAGAAAAATTGATGGTTCACATCGTGGCTTCGCGTTTGTCGAGTTCGTTTCCAAAAATGAAGCCAAAACGGCCTATGAGGCTTTGTCGGCATCTCATTTGTACGGAAGACATTTGGTCATAGAATACGCAGAGGACACCGGCACTGGCTTTGCCTCTATAGCCGAAATGCAAGCGAGAGCTGCTACACAAATAGCAAGGAAGCGAACTCGGATGAGCGATGGAAGTAATGTTGCTGCAAGTGGTGGGGAAGAGCCAAGTGATGAGCTCGTTGACGAACAGGCGATGCTCGAGGATGAGCTGTACGCTTAGCTTAGACAAAGCAAGCATTCATCTGATTTCTCTGTTATGTGTTATCATAGTGGACCTCCAGCATTCATATTAGAATGACATGCACGACAGCAGCCACCATGCTCTTTGTAAAAGTATTCTGTACAGCGAGCACTGTTGCAAAGCAGTACACGAGAGCGACAGTGAATACATCGCCAGCCTTTTGAATAGTCATCCCACAACCCTTTGCAAGCGACACACTTCCCTACCGTGGTCGCCTGTGTTGTGCCCAGGGCAAGACGTGTGTCAAAAACCAAATTCTTGCCTTGGAAAGCATCACCTCCACATGGATACTGCTTCAAAAATCGATCTATACCTCCATGTAGCTGACCAATAGACTTTACGATGTCCATGTTTCTCAAAAGCGCAGAAGCTCTCTCGCAGCGGATACCCCCCGTGCAGTACATCAGCACTCGCCTGTCCCTGAATCTCTCCTTATTTTCTCGAATGTATTTGGGCAAGTCGGAGAACTGTCTAATCGATGGTAAGACTGCGCCCTTGAATCGCCCGATTGCGTGTTCGTATTGATTTCGAACATCAAGCACAACGACGTCTTTCGATGGGCTCAAGACTTCTTTTCTGAAAGTATTGGGACCTATGTGCGGTGCAGCATCTCGCCAGGATGCTAGTTCTTCGGCGACTCCCAGTGTAACCAATTCTCGACATATCCGAATCTTCCACCCTCCTGGAAAATTCTCGGCAGATCCAGGTGATACCTTAAAGTCTAAATCCGCAAGCTGAAGCTCCGATAAAAGGGCTCGATGAAACTTCTCAACAGCTGCTTCAGAACCGCCAAATGTCCCGTTTATACCCTCAGCACTTACACGTATTCTACCGGCGAGCCCCAACGGCGGCCCGAGAGAACGTAAACGAGTTGCCAGGTCTTCGACATCCTTCACGTCAGTGTAGTGGTAAAACAGAGAAACTGGCATCGCTCGATGGCTGTCCACAAAGAATCGGAAACTTCTCCAATGGGACGGACTGAGATGCACAGGCCTGGGCCGTGCGGTGAGTGGTACTTTTTAAATGTGTCACCGATTTCGTTGTTTTTTTGGTTTCGACAAAAAAAAGGAGCGGCGACGACGGAAAGCCACCCTCATGGCTGGTAGAGCCGCAATACCAGAGGGACGATCCAGCATGCCGGTTGCCTGACAACGAAAGAAGCATGGCCCTTAAGCGAGATTCTGGACAAAACTTTACTTTAGTTAAAATGAGCAACGGGAATTCCTTCGCAAAACACTTCTTTAAGCGATGGTTTTCTGATGTCCTTGAAGTCTGGTAAACACAACGACCAGGTAGACTTGTATGACACTGCTAATTCTAAACGCATAGCACTGCGTTAATGCAACCATCGTTCTCAGGATTGTTTGTAACCTGTGCATACTTTCCCCATACGACCTTACCTGAGTTCGTGACCAACCCCAACTCTGACACGTTAACCTCAATGACGGTACCCCTTGTGATAACGCCCAATGAAGTAAACATTTGACTACTCGGGTTCTTTTTGACTCCAATAATATCCAGACAAAACGTGGTCTTAAGCTCCGGATGGGTAACATGGGCCTTCTTAAACCTCAAACCCATCGGTCGAATAAACCTCTCATACTTAGGAGGCTTCCTCGTGAACCCCTCACCCACATACGTGACCTTCGTAACCATTCTCTTCCACTGCTTCTTCTGCCTCTTCCCGGTCTTAACCACCTTAAACATCTCATCCTCCGCAATGGCCCTAACCTTCGGCAACGGAACGTCCCACTTGCCAGCCTTCTCCTTCCTCTTCTGCTTGAGGGTATTACTAAGGACCTTACTCCTAGTCTGCTGCTCCCTGTCGAGCAGGTAGGCCGGGACCGCTCCGTCGCGCACCTTGTCATCCACCTTGGCTGTCTTGTCCTTCTCGAAGTGCATGTTGATGGCCTTCTTCATGGCGGCCTTCTCCTTAAAGCGCTGCTTGTTGTAGATCTTCGCCTTGATCCCCGTGAGGGTGCGTGCCTGCTCCGAGCGCCGCCGCCCGGCCCGCGCGTCCCGCTTGCGCTCCCGCTCGTGCTGGTCCATCCGCACGCCATAGCGCTTCCGGTGCAGCTCCATGTACTCGCCCTGCGGCATTTTGGTGGGTGTGGGTTGTTTGGACGGCGAGGAGAGTCTTGGTCTTCACTGGTAGACGCGACGAAGTCTACCCTTTCGGTCGCTCGCTCGCGACGATGGGAAAACGGAATCCTTCCCGACTGGGTGTTAAAATCCACTCACCCACACCTTCACAAGAAACTCCCTGAATGAGGATGAAACGCTGTCGACGGCGTTCGGTCGTGACGGGTGGGCAAACACAGACTCTTGATGGCATCACCATTGCCGCCGCCGCCTTCACAGTTGCTGGCAACTGTGAAGCGAAAACAACTCAAAAAATAAAAACTCGTTCCGTATCAACGGGACCTCCATTTACAGTAACGGAGAGCGATGACCAGCATCCCGAAATTACAGACGCAGGAGCATTTGAGCTCCTCCCTCTCCCGCCTTCACTTTCCGGTTCCTTCTGCACTCACACCTCCTCTTCGCCCCCCTTTCTTATCCGCCATGTCATCCGATTCCCCTCGCCCACGCATCTTTGTCGGGCAAAGGAGGCGCCCGCCGGGCGATCCGCAGGCCGGCATGGGTGTCTCGGTCGGCTGTTTCATGGGCGCGGGCTACGGCCTCTTCGTTGGCTTTGGCAATCTCATGCCACTCGGCAAGCACACGGCTCTAGTCTACCCGGACTTCTCTGCGCGGCCGTTCGCGTACGATGGGAGCCTGGCGGGGGCCTTCTGCGGCGCGACGCTGAGCGCGGGCTTCGCCTCCGCGGTGGGGATGCACCTGGGGTATAGCTGGAGCATCCTCGGCGACCTTCTCCCGTCGCGCGACGTGGCCACACGCCGCATCTCGGGCATACAACGCACCCCAGGCGACCGGCTGGTCGCCTGGCTGCGGCGGCGCGCCAGCGGCGTCACGCCCCCAGCTGCCCGAGCAGGCGCAGGCGCACGGCGTCGACGCATCGCCTCGCAGCCATGAGGCCCTTGGCCAGCGCGGCGCGCGGGCCGGACGCTTTGAGGCGCAGACCGGACCCGCTGCACATGTCGCACGGCACGTAGCGCCGCATCACGCACAACGGGCACGGGATCTGCTGCTTGACTTTGGCGGAGAACATCTGCGCGGGGCGTCGCAGGGGGGGGGGAGGGTTAGAGCGGGTGCAAGGGAGGAGAGAGCGGACAGGGGGGCAGGCAGGGACGTACGCAGATGCCCTCGCCCGCGCAGAGCGGGCAGCGAGAGATGCCGAAGCCCGCGCAGCGCGCGCACGGGCGGCGGCCGCGGCGGCGCACGAAGAGGCCGCGGCGCGTTCGCGGGGCCGAGAGACGGCGGGCCAGAGAGGTTACCACGACGCCGCCGAGCAGGCCGCCGAGAGCCGCGCCGGGGAGAATGCCTATCTGGAGAGATCGCGGGCACGTAGGCATGGACATGGTAGGGGGCGGCGGTGCGGCAGCTGCATGCGAATGGTGCGGCGGTGGGAGGAAGGCGGGAGATGGCGGGTGCAGAATGAGGGTGCGCGGGTGGTGGCGGGAATGGCGCGCGGGAATGGTGGGCACTGCGGGAAGATTTTGGAGAAATTTCGGTTGTCATATCGCGGACGAGTGGTTAAGGGGGAAATGCATCACGTACCGTTACCGTACATACTGTACCCAAGGGTACCTTCGAAGGTACCCTTGGGTACCGTAGGCACAGTTGCGGGGGGAAATGCATGCCGAACGCAGTTCGCTGCCACAGTGCTCTTCTACCGTACACACTAACCGGTAGGCACAGTTGTGTCCTGTTTGAAGCGAGCGATCAGAGATGCCAGGCTTTGAAGGGGAATGCTACAGTACCTCTACAACAGGCGACATGATAGATTCTTAGGTATCGTATGGTAAAGGTCGTCGCGGGGCAGCCTGCAGCAGAAGCACTTTTTGCACACGTGATGCTGAACGATGCTGTACGCGGGGTCGTGCACACAGTTCCGCAGGCGGGGACCGAACACAAAATGCGAAGGGTTATCACTGCCCGAGAGATGGAGAAATGGAAGCGCGGGTGCTTCAGTGCTCACTTGGAGTGGCAGTGCCACTGTTGAGTCAACAGTGTTGACTGTTGACATCAACACTACTCACGAGGCACTGGGGGCGCTTGAGCGATGTTGAGAGTGCTGACATGAACAGCGATGTACGGCTCGAAGATGTACGGCTGGAGGATGGCCGACGTCCCACCTACAGTATTCCCCTGTGCCAAAATCTCATAAATATATTCACATTTCAACAATCCCAACAACCCCCCCCCCCCCCCCCCCCATCCATTCTGCCCACTTTCTGTCGGGCTAACCCCCCATGCCCCCCCCCCCGCCTGTCCCACGTGTCGTCACGCATGCTGCGGGGTCCAACCACCGGCCCATCGCCCTTCTCCCATCCTCACCAACTCATCTGCAACTTTTAGACCGCTAGTCCACTTCCTCTTCCCGGTCGATGTGCACAATTGGCAACTCCTCCAGCAACACCACATTCACGGGGGGTTAACCATTGGACTGCACTTTATAAATCGACCACCTAAGACTCAGGAAGGACTGCTTCGCAGAGACTCATCGAAGACCCACACCGTTTCTACTGCTCTATCCAATCGCCCTGTACCATCTCCGCCGTTCAGCTCGGCCCATTTCCCGCCATGGTCACCCTCGTAGCCGTCGGCGTCCTTCTGCTATCCGCGGGCCCCTCGGTCGCCATCTGGTTGGTCATGCTGCAGCGCCGCGCGCATCTCCTGGTCATCGGCATCTTCGCCGCCTTCACCTGGTGCCTCGCCATGATGCTAGCGGGCACCATCTGGATAGCCATCCCGCCCTTGAAGGACATTTTCCCGTGGGCCATCTTCCTCGCCGTGTCCATGCAAGAGCTCATGCGCTACGTCCTCTCCGTCGTCTTCCGCCTCATGGCGCGCAACGGCCACGGCATCCACGCCTTCCTGCGCCAGGGCGCCAAGAACCAGATGCTCACCGGCATGGCCGTCGGCGCCGGCTACGCCCTCATGGCCGTCCTCATCCAGTTTTACTCGATTATCGCAGACAACTTTTCCGATGATACCGCAGTATACAACGACACATGCCCCGTCAACTTCTTCGTCGCCGCGGGCTCCTTCACCTTGGCCTACTCTCTTTTGCACATCTTCCTCGGCATTCTCGTCTGGCCCGCCTTCAGCGCCAGCTCCTCGCTGCAGTATGGCTTGGTCGCCTATGTCTTGCATCTCGGCCTCGCAGAGCTCAGTCTCGTCAACAGAAAGAACAGCGGTTGCGCTTGGAACCTCGGCCTGACCTGGGCACTCGTTCTAATCTCCGCGCTCGCCATCAGTGTCATGTCAAAGGCTAGATTGAAGAAGGATGGCGGCGGAAACATTAACACATAGCAATCGCTGACTAACTAAACCAGTTTTGAACCTCGCTTTTACTCGTGCCTCTCTTCAAGTCACCCCGCGCGAGCCTTGTAGACCTTTCATTAACACCAACACTACAGATGTAATAACACCAATGAGTACGAGCAGGGAGCAGGGAGCAGGCGAAGCAAACATAATTCAGTATGCGGCAAAGGCGGACGTTAAAAGAAAGAGCACACGCACTTAAACAAACAGGAATAGAAAACTTACGTTGTTCCAGCACTTGGCTGCATGACCCGATTACATCCTGGCAAGAGCTAAATGTATTTGATGGTTGTAAGACAATCACCAACGTTGCGCCATCAAATCTCTCAACTCGAATATCATCCCCAATTGTGACCACAGCCGTCTCATCTCCTTGTGAGGCCAGCGCGTCATCACCGGCAGCAAGCAGTGCTTGCAAATCTGCAATCATTGTAGACCCTGACCTGCTTCCCGACGGGTACCATATGCTCTCAAGAGACTTCCGAAACGTCCCTTCGAGGCCGTGTCGCACTAAGTAGGCTTGCCGAATAGCGGCATTAGATTCCACTAGCAGCGTATACCAAAAAGAACACACGAAGAAAGGGTTAGCAAGCACGTTAATGGGACGGAGTTGTTCACGACTCGCGCATACCATGCCGGGTCTACGTACGAAACTCGAGGAGGGGAAAAACTGAGGCTACAATAGCCGGGCGCACCAGCGCTCCGAAGCCTTTAAATATGTCTTCAACTCCCTGCACGTTGGCTAGTTGCAAAGAGAGAAGGCGTTCTGCATAGTTCTCTTTAAACACCGTCAAAAGCTGTAAACCAACAGAGTGACCGTAAAGGTCCGCATCACCTGTGTCATGAAACAGCACAGCCCGCAAGTGCTCCGACCCGGCTTCATCGTTTCCGATAGGGATTTCCAAGGCGGTGATAGTTACGTTTTCGAGTTCAATGTGGGTAATTGGGATGCCAATTGATCGTACTGAAAACTCTCCCAAAGCTGTCACGAGCCCAGCGATCAGTCGTGGTTGATTCGGGGCCCTGGTGAACACTTTGCGATACAAGACGAGGCCACCTCGGCCAGAGATGATCATGAAGCTGTGCAACATGATGGTAAAAGCTCAATAGCAGATGAATATGAACATTTGATGGTGCAGCAAAATAGTCGTGCGGACGACCCACTTACTCCAAGAGCCTCAGTTTCCTTTCCGGACGCTGAACCATGAAGATTGTGTGCACGTTTGAATCACCTTCGACTCAACTCCAAACGGCAAATTCCTGTGTAGCAGACTTGCTGTATCTGCGGATAATGGGAAAGATCGAAATTTTGAGGAGAATCTCAACAGCCGATCAAATCTTTCAGAATTTGTTGCTTGACCGTCCCGTCTAACCAAGAGAAATGGATCTCACATGCTTGCAGACAATTCAAACTCGGCCAACTTACCCATGACAACTGGGTAATCACTGCCATGTGGCTTCAAATGCTGTCGATTTCTTTCCCGAAGCTTCGTTTACGATCATTGAAAACATGCAGGATCAAGTATTTTCAGCTGCCTTAGCTCCGTAATATTTTGCAGTCCTAAGCACAGCTGCCCATCCATTTGTCACAACCCCGTCGTTCACAATGCTACCCACAAAACGTAATGCAGCATCTGGAACAGAGCGTCTTGGAGTTGTCTTGCTTGCAGCAGGTTATGGAACCCGTCTTCAACGAGATATTGGCAGCACGCCTTCTTTGTCGATGCTGGCAGGGACGCCGAAACCTCTTCTCCCACTATGCGGACAACCCATCCTTTCGCATTGGTTGTCACAGCTGCAAACCATCCCTTCAATATCACATATTTTCGTCGTAACGAACGAAGCGCATCTCCCGTTGTACCAACAATGGAAGGCCGAGTTACCGGTACACCACCACTTGGGTGTTTCTATTCTTTCAGACGGGTCCATTGACAATGCCTCAAGGCTGGGTGCTATTAAGGATATCGCGATTGGTCTCAATTCTCTTAAGACGACATCAGCGGACAAAGCACTGATTATTGCCTGTGATACAATACTACCGGATATTGACATGTTAGACTATGTCTCGAAGTTTGTAGATGGTGAGCATTCTGCGGCGACCTTTGCATATCCCCTCGCAGACATGAACGACTGCGTACGACGCGGTATGTTCAAATTTCGCACGGAGCTGTCAGGAGAACTCATTGCTGAGGCGGTTATCGAAAAGCCGAAGAGCCCGGAACTGGCCCCGTCAAATCTTGCTTCGGCGCCAATCTACTTGCTTCGAAAAAACCTTTGGCAAACCCTGGGACATTTCTCGGAAGAGCAAGAAAACTTGGGAGTGCCACTAGAGAAGCGTGATGCACCGGGATTCTGGTTAGCATGGCTCGTCCCGAAGCATTCATGCAGATTATTTCAAGTGGTGCAAAGGATTGATATAGGTTCTCTCCAACACTATAAAGACGCACTCTGGGATTTGACGCTTCCCAAATCTGGCATGCGGAGCAGTAAAGTGCCGCGAAGAGCAAAATATGAACCTGCTGTTGGACGTGCTTTTCCGCGAGCAGGTTTCCTCGGGAATCCTTCGGACGGCTACGGCGGCAAGGTCATTGCCTTTTCCTTAGCATCAGAGGGCTACGCTGAGGTTGTAGCGACACCCCATGACAGTTTTGCGGTGCGCTCCAACCCAAAGCATGAGCATTTGGAAAGCTACAACAGTCTTTCTCAGTTCTTAGATCACGTGGACAACTTTGGTATTCACTACGGAGCGCGCGTACTAGTTCTTGCTGCGTCTGCCATGTTCGCAAGAGTGTACAAACAATATATGCAAGATCAATCTGCTGCCGGAGAAGAGCAAGATGGGAAGAAAGATTCCTTCAGTTTGCTTCCAAATTGTCAATTAACATACTCAACCTCCATACCAGCGCGCATCGGTTTATCAGGTTCTTCTGCTTTTATTCTTGCAACGCTACTGGCATTGGCCAGATATCACGGCACTTCGCTCCCAGAAATCAACCCAGATATCCACTTCTGGCCAAAATTGATGCGCTCTGCTGAAACGGATTTGTTAGGTATTGCATGTGGGCTACAGGATCGCGTGATACAATTGATGCAGGGTTGTGTGACGATGGATTTCACAGGCATGACGTCTGGGGAAGAGTGGAAATGGCTGCCGGATGGCTGCTTACCTGAGATGTGGATAGCGTACCGTGGAGAAGGGACAATAGGGGAGGACTCTGGCAAAGTCCACAGCAATTTACGATCAAGATACGACGCGAAGGATTCTGAAGTTCTCGCTATAGTCAAGGAGCTATGCAGTTTGGTAGATTCTGGTCAAATCATATTGGAGCAAGGCGCGAAAGGGAACCGAGAGGTTTACAAAGAGCTGCCGCACCTCATCAGCAAAAATTTTCAGCTCCGAGTTGCTCTGGTCGGACCACATGTTGTTGGCAAGCAAAACACGGACTTGGTTTCTATTGCGAAGCAAGCAGGCTTGGCAGCAAAAATGACAGGGAGCGGGGGTTGCGCTCTGTGTCTTCCAAATCCGGTTCGCCAATTGAGTGGCTCGGAGGTAGCAGGGGCCAAAGCAGTCTTCGAAAAACATGATATGGTCCTCCACAAAGTAGAAGTACTCCCTCGAAGAGAATGGCTACCGTAAGAATAAACATCAGTTCACTGGTTTATTTTTTATGCTGGAGGGGAGACTGAGTCCCACCTTGAAGCAGAGCACATGTAGTAGTTATAGCCGTGCGCAAACGGAAGTGAGGACACGTGGTTTAATATGAGTAAGGTTAGCCAAAATCAGGAACGCGAAGACTGGGGGATGGGAAGCTCAAAGTAGACATAGGGATAGAAGTCCTTATCACCGGTGATGCCAGGAATGTTAGTGACCTCCTCAGAATCCCCTGCGGCGGCCCAGGAACCGCCCAAGTGCCCAAACATTTCATTCAGTGACGAACGCAAACGGGAATCAGCCTTGCCCTTTGGTAATATCAGCGAAACATCGAAATTGACTGGGAGGCCATAACGCAAGACACTCTCGGCAAAGGCACGAAGGGCTTTGAGATGCACCATAGCAATGAAAGTCTCAGCAAACGCTGTCTCGGCCCACTTTGTGAAAGTAGCCTGCTGGGTCTGCGCTTCGTCCTTGAGTCGGTCCTCTTCTTCTGCAGACCTCGACTTTGCAGTCGGGTCAAAGACGAAGTCTCTGACTGTGTACCGCTTCTCTCTGCAAGCTGTTTTAAAGTCTTCGACGGACTTTTTGAATACGTTGACGGCGAAAAGAGAATATTCATTGTCGGTAGAAATCTTCTTGGCCGAACGCGGAACGACAAGGTTTGCGAGCTGTTCGTACGTACTCAAGAATTCGGGTTCGTTGTATGAGGCGAAGACAACAAAGAGCGTGGTGATGTGTTCAGACTCGACGACATGCTCTGCCTCGACAATGGTGGACAGATGGCGGGTCATGAGAGTTCCCTGAGAGCGACGCTCGATAGTGGTGAGTGCTTGCTTCGTTGAGGTGAAATCGTTTAGTCGGATTTTCATGTCATCTTCCATTCGAAAAACCTGTTCCATGATGGTCTTGCGAATATCGGACAAGGAATCAGAAGAGGCGAACTTTGCCTCGTCCCACTCGAAATCGGTAACGTACTCGATGATGTCGACACCGTCGACGGTAGGAATTGCAGAGGAGGATACAGTGAGATCGCGGTACTGCCTGAGGACGCGATCGACGGTTGACTCGAGATTCTTTTCATCGCGGGTAATGGCATCGGCGACGGAAATGAGGGAGTCGAGAGTCCCGACTCGAAACTCAGGAAGCTGGAGAAGATGGGCATTGCAGAGTCCCAACTTGGCTTCAAGAGAATCTTTGATGGAAGCAAAGGAAGATCGACCACCCTCATTTGGGGCCGAAACGACCCACCACTTGGACGTCATGATTTGTCAAGGTGTGGGGGGAATGGAGAGTACGAGCCCGTGAAGCAGCAAAGACCCAGAGGTCAAATGACTCCGTCAAAAGGGCAGGGTGGCGCAAATATGGGATGAATCGGTGCTGAAAAAGCGTTGAGGGAGCGGCGATAGAGGTCTGAAAGGATGATGGGGTCGTTAGGAGGGGCTGAAAACGTTGGAAACGAATCGAGGTTGCGAAAGGATTGTTCTGCAGGCCTCATCGATGATGCGTACAGTACGAATACCCTCAGCATGCGTACTCAGCTTCACTGTAAGTACACTCCACTTGGCATGTAACTATTCGCATTTGCCTCTTCGGGGTATGAGTTGCTCTTCGACGTGGACACGACTGCATCGTGTACAACTACACACGTATCACACTATCTTATATGGCTCTGCATGTCACCTCTGAGTACTGTACAGTATTACTCCAGCAGAAACCGCGGTTGGGCAGAGGAACGCATACACTGTACCCTTGGGTACCATATTGTACCCTTCGAAGGGTACCGTTACCCTTATGCTAAGGGGTAACGTTACGGTACAGCGTGCAATTATTGTATCATACAGAACTTACGCTCACAAGGAATAACCCACTACAGGGGGGGGTCGCTCAATAGTGCCTACTTTAGTAGTGCTTCCCTCTATATAGTGCTACGGCTCACCCTCTGGCACAGGTTATCATACGCTCACACGTGTATCATCCGACATGGTTCAGTACTCAAAGGATGAAGTTATTTAGTTGTGTTATACAGGCTTTGTTGTGTTTGTGTTAGCAGTGTGCTTTGTCCCCAAGGTTAGACTTGTGTTGAAGATCAAACGAATTTTTAATGAGGTTTGAGCATTTTTTTGAACAGAAAGTCAGTGTGCTACGAAGGCTTACAGTTACCAGAAAATGAAAGGAAAATAGCGGAGGCTGGTAAGCGGACTGCGCGCTAAAGAGCACGACTTGTGATAGGGCACGAAGTGCGGGTGGGACGGTGGGAAAAAGCAAGCGACGACTTGAGGGAGAAAGAGAATTGAAGGCTCCGAGGCGTCGCCTTAAATCCTACTTCCAAGGACTGTTCCAGGCATTCGGTAAACCATGCTTGAGTCATGATGAATCTTGATTTCATGGCAGCACGGTAGAACAAATGGTGGAAGCCTCCCTTATCTCACCTTGGTTCACAAATGTGTGTGTGATCGTCTAAATGGGCGCCTCCGGAAATTATTTTTTGTGTCAGAGTCATATTTTTCTTTTTTGTGAACAAAAAATGAGTTTTACCACGGAAATGCTTGCGCACATAATGTGCGTCCCCCTACTGTACGCATGCTTTGAACTCGTTCCTAATGACGAGCACGGTGTGTCAGGGTCGTTCCTAACGACGAGCACGGCACCGGACGCCGGCGATGACGCCGTCGGAGCTCTATCTACAGTGTGTGCTGTGAGCTAAGCTCAATCATGATGGTGTTTTCACCGAGCAGCCACCGTCAGAACCATGAATGACCAAATGGCTATTCTATTGCTACTTCTCATTCAGAGCCATGCTCGGTAGGATGTAGATGTCGAGTCTCGTCGGTCGGGCGGCGGCCGACACTTTCTCTGTGTACAGTAAATTTGGATTGTACGCGCGCACATTTTGACATTTGTGCGATACACATTTAACCTAGCATGGGGTCGCCCGTCCGAGAAAACGGCGCGTTGTGTGTACACAACGCGCCGTTTGTGTGTCACAAAATCCCGATTTGGTCAACACAATTTGCGATTTTAGAATTTCAGGAGTCGCCCAATATATGTATTTGAGCCTCCTTTCTATAGTGCCATCCCCCCAATAGTGTCATAGCTAGAGGTATGTCACGCTATAGCACTATATCGTAGGAGGCACTGTAATATCATCCATTTGAAGGTGTCCTGAGCATTGTGCTAGGGTGCAACTACAGTATGTGCGGTACATGTCGTACCGCGCGGTAAAACGCCCCGTTCTCTATCTTATTCATTAGTCCTGGTACTGCATTGTGTTGGACCGAACACGAAGCCTATCCTATCCATACATGCATTCGCAACAATAGTCATCGAATAAAGCATTTACATCCATACACAATACCTTTAGAAACACGACGTCTACACCCCCACAAGGCCCTTCCCCTGCCTATCCACCTTCTCTCATCGCCCACTTTAAAAACTTTCCTCACCACCTCACCCTGCACCAGCAATCTCACTCTGCCCTGCTCTGCAGATGTCTACGTCACTTGCAAGTAGTCTCACAAAACGCCATCGACCGTTCCGCCGGCTCAGTCGTCTATTCGGTCTCATACTCTCTGCATGGCTCACTGTTAAAGCCGCATCACGTGTGGTCCAATTCGTTCAAATCTACAACGCCAATTTTTTGCCATGATTGCAAACTTGCGCGACTTCCTCTCCATTTCAGGCGAGCCCTCTCCCCAATGTCTCGCGTTCTTTAATAATCCTAAGCTCGCAAAATATGATCCCGTTCCCCATCAAACCTGCCCTGTGATTGTTCTCCACCGCATAATAGTGTCATCTCCAATCCTGAGACATCTATTTAATCTCTGAATCCAACACCTCTCGTATAATTCACGAAGACAAACTCCGCTCCCCTTCCACGCGCTCTATTTTGTCCTTCCTCTTTCTACTCACTTTCCTTTACCTCTAACACACCGCATCTCAACCACTTTCGCCTGACTATCAGTCTGTACAAAATGGAAGCCTCGTTGCACAAATGAGATCATTGCCCTTCATCCCATCTACTAATCTCGAATGCACATAGAGCAGGGTAATTCGCTGCTGTCGCACCACTTGCTTGTGTATACAACGATTGCACATATGCAGAGTCTCTCTATGTTCAATATTTTAGAGTTAATGTTTGCTTTGTGTGCTGCATTCGCTGCGACACGAAAGATACTGAAGGTATTCAAGAGCGTTTGTGGCCATCGAATCTTCACGCGCAACGGCAAGTTCTTGATGAGCAATAGATGCATTTTGTTCTGTTTGCAGAGGTGTCTCAGAAGTTCTAGTCATTCAGACAAATGGATGCAAGTCCCGTTACGGATACATCTCCGCGACCGAAACAAGTTTGTCAATATTCGAATTACAAAGTTCTATGGATTTATCAACGGCTATACATAAAAAAGAAAAGTCGCGCATGGTGGAACAGTTGCGTCCTTACTTCCTATCTAATACGGTACTATTCTCGGGAACGATACACATCGAACTCAAAAGAGTTTCAATGAAACATCGAGCCTCACTTATCGAACGCTCTCCTAGTTCAAAGAAAGAAACATGCTGACATGGATACTCATTGTGAAGCTTGGGAGTTGAGCAGATTTTAGGCAGATGAAATGCAGGAGTGCGATTTTATTGCCCTTGCAATCTGACTGTGGTACAGTTCTCCGTTTCGAAGAAAGCTTGATAAGAAAAGCGGGAAAAAAACCATAAAAGCACAACAAGAGTTTCCGAAACTTCAGTAGAGCGCTAAGTCCAATAATCATAATCACCGTCTACGGTCTCGATCTCTTTTCTTGATTTCCTGAACTTGTGCGTCGAAATCTGCGATTGGTGGAAGCCTCGTCGAAGTAGGTGACCTCGGAGCTTTCGACCCTCCAGGATTAGGATGCCTCGACTCAACTAAAAGCGAAGAAATAGGAATACCACTCCGGGGTGTGGTAACTGAAGTTCTCTTGGGGCTTCCAGTTGAAGCGCTTCCTCGAGGAGGAGATGCCGCCCCGCCTCTTTTGGGTGCTTTTGGTAAAATAGGCCTCACCTCTTGTTGGGCAAGAAGGTGCTTCTCAAAAATCGTCATCACAGAAATACCCCCAGAGGGTCTAGTCTCGCACTGTCTCCTCGCATTTGTGCTTACAAGCTTTGCACTCTCATGAGGCCTCTTGTCAACAACCATATTAACGATGTCCGTAACGACATCCCTTTTCAATTGCGGGATTGTCTTCTGCTCTACAGTTGCGCACTCCTGCGTAAACGCTCGAACAAGATTACTCCAAGCGAGTTGATACCTTGGACCTGAAATGGTACTGAGCCAGCCTGAATAGTCTCGGAAACCCGCTGGAACGAAAACGGGACCTCCAATGACGTTAGCAAATTGGCTGATGCTTTGGTGCATAGTTGGGCTGACGAGGGACTGTCGCGGCTGCCGCCCCCTTCTCCGCTTCTCCCGCTTTTCACCTGATCCTCCAGCTTCTTTTGAAGATCCTGCGCTTGACATGTTTTGGGATGTTGTTACGTTAACTAGAAATCTTGACCTGTTTTGCAGTGTGTCAGTAGAGGTCAAGATGCATGAACTGCTTCGATGGCTGCCGGGATTCGAGCTGATGGCTGAAGTATGTTGCGGAAGAAAAGGTACGGGGAGAACCTCCACCATGTCTCGGTGTCCTTTATGTAGAGCTGATGGGACAGCCGTGACAATTCAAACGAGTTCGATGATGACAAAGCTGAATGTGGAGGCGGGCAAACTACATCAGTGTATTGCGAGTGCGTATGTTAGTGGTAGTTGAGAGGTGAGAGATGGAAATAGGAACTGGAAAGGCTAATAAAAGAAATACTGCAACGAAGATGTTGTATGTCGCGCACATTGAGTGTAAATGCACGTGCATAAGGAAGGTAGAGGAAGGGAATTGTGCTGTTGGTAAGACATGAAGGAGTGGTCGTTCATCTTGTGAACTCAATTGCTTGCATGCGGAGGTTTGCGTAGTCTTGGAAGAGCGAAAGCTAGTTGGTTAGGCGATGGGGTTCCAGCGTGTGAAGCCATGTATCTGGAGATGAATGAATAGAGTCTCAAGATCTTGTACAGACTACCCCTTGCATCAGAGCGTGACCTCCTTTTCCTTCCTTTCATAAACCGTTCAATTTATTAGCATTTTTCTCTCTCTTTACTTTCTCCGAGGATTACTACCTCATACTCGTTGCCGAAGAGAGATCTACTCATCCATATCTGCATTCTTCTCCAAGTTGTTCTCAACGGCTACTCGCTGAGGAACACGGCACAGTCCAAAACTCGCGAAACATCGACGATTTTTGAGCCGCCAAACTCATCGACACGCCATCTGAGCGGCTCTGTACGAGACAAGGAGCTTGGCCTTCGCTCCCCACCATTCATCGTTGTCCTACACTTCAATCCGCACTCCACACACGTATCGGTATAGGAACGACCGCAGGCCCCTCAGCACTGAGGTCATTCGAACTGCCAATCCTATTTTCCGTCTCCGTTATATTGGTTCCATTTTTCTACATTTCGTAGACCATTTGCTCGATGCCATAGACTTCCCTGCTTCTACTGCCGCGCTTGCAGAATGGAGTGGACTTTTCAACGAGGTACACTGCAAAACACACCGATACGGAAAATGTTTTCCACTCGCTTCCAATGTTAAAAGATATAGGATCCTCCGCTTTGTATTCCTCCGAGAACAACCAGACTCTCCTGCCCCTTAGTGCCGATATGACATGGAATCCCTTCTGTCCCACACCGTTACGACAACATCCCGCGCCTTGTTGCTGAACATAACAGCAAGAATGTCTTGAAAGGGCGCAATCTCCCACCTGTAGTGGTCGTTCTCTGCATCCATATCACATTTCTGCGTGCACAGGTTCCAGTATGTGCTCGCCAAAGCAATACCCAAGGTTTATTTTGATCATACCCCTCGGTATCTGATATTGAAAGGGAGTATACCTCGCATTACTGAATTCCGCAAGCAGTTCAACTTCACTTTCACTTCCATGGGATCTCGCCTCACGCTATATATACACTCCCTGCGCCTTTTTCTGTCTTCCACCCATTGTGCAAACACTTTACTACGTTCTATCATGTTTTCCACATTCAATTGTTGCACTGATGCGGCATCCTCGTTTCTCAGTGGCAACTGTAGTATTTAAATTTTACCTGACACAGAGACTGCGCAGAGATTGCTAGCGGACAAAAAAAACCTTCAGGTGCACGCCGTGCACGCACAGAGGCCATGCTCAGCTGAGGTGCAGTCCATCCACGACCAGTAGTAAATGCTATGAAGAACTAATCTAACAATGAGTGAGGCTATGTCCACACGGAACTTTTTTCTCATATGAATGCCAAGTCTTTACTTGTTAGGCGTGGAAAAGCGAACACTCTCACAAGTGTTTTTTTACGTTGAGCATATGCGTCGTACTCAATACAGAAGAGCGTTCCTCTCGGCACGAGCCCTCGTGTATGTACAGTACTACAGACAACATTTCGATATTCTGTCCTTTAAAATGTCAACGTCTACTCATACAGTATACAGTATTGCAGTGGCAACTTCTCACATGAAAGATACTATGGCGGCTCATCTTCGATCAGTAAGACCCCTTAGCTTCAATATGTCAATTTGTGTCTCCTTAGTGTTTAGCAGAGGGAGCTGAATACACAGTGTCGTGTCATGCAGATGCGCCAAAAAAATGGGAATCGTCTTGATATTGCATGCCACGTAATATGTAACAGACGTTCCATAGCACTGGCTAGACGAAAACACTTCACAAGGCCCTGTAGCATTTCGGCAGAGCAGACCTTCCATTTTATTGCAGCACTAAAAAAGGGCTTTACGAAAAGTATGTTCTTGCCTCACCTCAAGCAGGGTAACTAGTTTCCCTTCGTATGGAAAGCATGAAGGGGCTCCCTATTTGTGAAGAGGATGCGTGGCCGCACGACGATGAAATATACACATCTCGTGTGTACTACGTTCCTTTACATTTCACGACAATGTAGGGGAAAACTACTGATGTGTACCTTCGCTTGCTTGGCAGACAGTAATCCCACAAAGAGTCATTTGGCATTGTATGAAGGACAAAAGCTGACATTGCGGCCACCCTATACCTTCGCTGTTTTCTCCAGCACATTACTGGACATAGCAAGGGAAGCAATTGTTTGTCAGGGTGTCGTCTCCAGTACGAGACGGGATGCTCCCGGAGTACGCTCCGCCTTGCGACATTCCTGTTGAAGTAATGTATTGACAGATGAAAACATGAAGAATATTTCACCTCGGTCCTCTTGCCTTCTGATCTTACAACAGGTACGGACTGCGTACTGTATCACGAGAATTCATGGTGCCTTGCGACCTTACAATCTGTGAGCTGACACGAGAGCCATCAAGGCCAATCGGTCATCATGACAGGTCTGGGTTCGTTATAGAACTACGGGAAGCAAGAGGTGAACAGCGTCCCTCCAGAAGAGCAGAGGTGGCCACAGAAACAACGAAAGGCTGAAATCGGGGTCTGGTTCATGGGAACCCCGAATTTCAGTTCCTACGCAATAGCCAGTTTGACGCACATATAAACTAATAGTGGAACGCCGGTGCTTCCCTTCAATACGGTAAGACCAGACTCAAAAAGTGGTTGATATTCGTAACTGATATCGTCTTTTGGTCACGTTTTGTGACTCACACCCACAAAACAAAGAGCCGCACGCGTCAGGGACATTTCTTGGAAACTCAGAGTCCCGACCGAGAACAATTTTCCTTGAGAGCTTACTTGTTCTGTCACCGCTTCAAGAATGCAAAATGCTCATTTGCATTTGCGAAAGAAGAATTGGCGAATGCGCGAGGGTGTGCAAGACATATTGTCTTGGCTCACACTTGTCGCACAGCAAAAATCCCTCTGAATACTCTCTTATGTATGTAGTTGAAGAAAAGGTTCTTACGACAGTAGGTATGAGCTGATCAGCTCGAGAGCTTATACGTAGATAGCGTGTAGGGTTAAAAGCAGTCAAAGATATGCCACCTTAAGTCACTGTGTGAACCACAGGGGTAACTTGTTCGGCCTCTGATGCTGATTCGCGGGACGAAATTGTTGGAGTGAACCGTTGGGTTTCTTGTAAGCATTCAACGATCGTCTCAGAAGCGACTTGCCCATCTACCATGTGACTGATACCTTGCAGAATCGATCGAGAGGTCGAAGTTTATATTCATATATAAAAGTCCCGTGACTACATTTTGGTATCTTTTCATTTCCTTGGTTGTATTTCGACTGCGCTTTTGCCGACTCGATATTTCGGCATTGCTTCAAAGGCCATTTTAACACGAAGCAGAAATCGTTTGTGCGCAATGCCCTGACTTCTCTGTTGCGATACAGTAGACATAGAAGGGAGTTTGTCGGCGGAAGTTTGTAATTTTTTCGTTGGGTGTTTTTGACGAAGCGGGTCTGCGCATAAAAGATTATATGCTTGGGTGTTCCACGCTTTTTGCATGAGTTATAATGCTGGATATAGCTTTCATATCCTTTATGAATGAGGAAGATGGAATGGGTATGTTTTCTGTTGAGGCCCGACCTGGCTGGAACTTGTTGGTTGGGTCTGGACTCTGACGAACCGTTTTGTTATTCCATTGGTCGCTTGCATGGGCAACAAGAATTTAGGAAGGTGGGCGAGCGCGCGAGGAAAGCTGATGTGCGGAAAACGGAATATCGACCGTCTCTATTCTTTATACCGATGTGAGTTATCCGATGCTCAGTCAAGCGAATGTCGCTGCCGTTTCTTGGCTCTGCGCATGGAATGTATGAGGGCGTCGTTCCGCCTCATCGATCGGGCCAAACATGTAACCTATACAGTACAGAGATTTACAGTTTTTGGCCGGGTACACTCTCTCCCTGAAGCCCCCTCCCGATTTGGGTGTAATATTGTACGTCTGACAGAATTCGGCAACTGTTCTGCAGAGGTACCCTTCTCACCGGCTCAATTTGGGTAATGAGTTAATTTGGGTACTTTTCAACCTACGATCCTCTTCCCTCCCCGCCTTCCAAAACTATGCAGAGTCCATCTCACGCGCACACACACACATACACGCACCCAGCACCTGACAGTAAAGTTTTTCCTCCTCTTCTCTACCCGCCTCCTGGCTCGACGGTGGCGGTATGCCGCCGGAAATGAGAGCACAAACCCTCGCACACAAGTTACGAATCACCAAGAGTAGAGAAGAGCGCGCTAGCCGCGCAGAACGCCCTGCGCAGAACGCCCTTCTTTATAACTGGGAATATTAAAGAAAGCAGCAGTCGCCCTCAAAGCATCGTATGAGTGTTAGAAGCATGAAAGGCGTGGCTTTTCTGACGTCGGTGCCCCTCAGATGCTCTCATAGCCTGCGAGGTATGGAAATGTGCACAGTAAACGCACACACGCTATCAAGGCACGCGGGCGGCGTGTGTGAACATGGTCAATTGGTGAGAAGGGAAGTAGGCGCCTGTTGGAAGGGAGGAGGTTGTCCGCAATTTGGAGAGCAGTTTTTGGACTTCTCTGGATGATATGTCCTTCAAAAAGTGGCCTAGACGTTCTCCGTCTCGTCGACAAGGGAGGGAAGAGAGTACTTGTGCAGATGGGCAGCACGTCGCGGCACGATGTTCGCTGGGATTGTCGCAACTCCGATGTAC